CTTTGAAATTATAGTAGAGGTAACGGCTTCTTTCACAGCTTAGTTTCTGTGGTGTGGTGGTGTATTATATTTGGGAGTATTCCCAAAAGCTCAGCTCTGCATAAAACCTAGTCCTTCAACTCTTCTAAGAATTTTGTAGGGATTGCGTTCCCTATATTTTCCCCCTGTTAAAAATAGCTAGAGCAGTTTCCTTAATCTTCACCTAATCCCAGATTAATGCCTCCCTTTTATACCTGCCTGTCTGGTAATCCTTACTCAAAGCTTATTGTGACATTTCACATGCAGAGTTAACAACAGAGCTCTTCAAAGATTTTAAGGCCTCCACTCCTCAAAAAAAGAAAAAAGAAAATCTTATAAATATTTGATTTATACATTATAATAACCCTTAATAAGCAGACTGGAGGGTCCATTGAAAGAACAATCTGCATACACACTAATTGGCATTGGGTTTCTATATATGGCATGTCACAGAAGTTTTCTACTCTTGCATTTAGTAAATCCATCATACATTTGGATGTTTTCTGAGACTACTTAGTCTATGTGCTTTTATTTCAAAGAAAAAACAATGAGCCTTCCTCCCAAAATTAACATGACAAATGAGAGAGAGATTTAGATATCCTTACTGGGGGATTGTATATGTTGCAAAGGGATAGGAACTTGAAAAAGGTGATATATACAATGGTTTAAATTCCTACCTTTAAAAAAAAAATCGTCCGATTCTGTGTGTGCACTCTATTGGTTCATACCTTGCACATTTGTTGAACAAACACTGTGGACTTCATACTGTGCTAGACAATAGAGATGAAGCACAATAGAGAATAAAGAACATAAATACTAAAATAGATACCACAGGAGACTCCTGTTATAACGAGGGGGAAAGATATTATACAACTAATTACAAAAGTATTTAATTAAAATAGCAGTATGTTTAAAAAGACATAAAACCATGGGGTGACATCATTGGGATCCTGATCCAGTCTTCCTTAAAGGAATAATATTTGAGATAACTTATGAAAAGCAAGTATACATGAACTAGGGGGCTGGAGAGGGGTGTTTTCTTGGTAGAGTTGTGGAATATAAATGGCTTGAAGAGAGCAAGTAAAGGACTTCCTCTACATTTTATGCCCAAGAAAATATGGAGAAGTAGAATGCCTAGCTAATGGGACATAAAAGGAGGACAAACTGCAGAAGACAGTGAGAAAGACATAGGAAAGAGAGTCAGTACTTCATCTTACTGTCTTTTTTTTTTATTTTTTTCTGCATTCTTTTTTTTATTTTTTTCATTTTTTTTATTTTATATTTTATTGATTTTTATACAAAGAGGAAGGGAGAGAGAGAGCTAGAAACATCGATGAGAGAGAATCATCGATCAGCTGCCTCTTGCACACCCCCCACTGGGGATGTGCCCGCAAGCAAGGTACATGCCCCTGACCGGAATCGAACCCAGGGCCCTTCAGTACCCAAGCCGACGCTCTATCCATTGAGCTAAACCGGTCCCAGCATCATCTTACTGTCTTTATTAGCATTTCATTCTCCAGTAGACAAGTGCAATACCGCTTTCTAAGAGCGTGCCACCCCGGAAGGTGCACCTCTCTCTGCTCTACTCCACATCTGAAAAAGTGCAATAGCCCTGGAGTGTCATCTTGATATTCCAAGGTTGTGGGTTTGATCTCTGATCAAGGCACATACAGGAAGTAACAGTAAGTGCATAAATAGGTGGAACCACAAATCTCTCTCACAAATCCTCTCTCTCTCTCTCAAAAAAAAAAAAAAAGATTAAGTGCAATAATATTAAAAAAAAATCTCAACATCAAGAGTCATATCATTCACAGAATTCCTCCCCACATACACACTTTCATCAAATTCTATTACTAATATCACATTACCCTCTGCTTGAAGCTTGGGATCTTCACCACTCCTGGCACCTGAAGCTGGTTTAGCTGGCTGATTGTTTGGGGGCCGGGGGTATGATAACTGTGCACATGACAGACAGCTGAGCACATGGGTAACTTTGTACCTCTGTTTCAGAAAACAGGGCTGTCTGATCTTACCTATTGCCTATCACAAGAGAGTTGCAATCACATTGTGTAATTACCTATTTCCAGCTATGGAAATGTTCTATTACCATTTTTATTCTGTAATTTAGTAAGAAAAAGAACCTCAGGCAAGTACTTTGAATGTCATTCAACCTCTCTTGGTACAGATCCTTGCATATTTTATAAGAAATAGTGTTGTGGCCTTGTTTGCCTTAGTTTGCTCCAGAGCAGCGATACAAATTTATTAATACCATCTGTTTTCTTAAAAAGTAAAAATTGCCATAAAGCAGGAACCAAGAGATTCAGCCTCATATGGAAATTTTGCCAAGATCTGCCAAAGCAACTTCTCTTTATTTATTACTTTTATTTCACTATTAGAACGTATTTACAATGGATTACTTAGAGTCTTTATTTCCATTATGTAATAATATCTTCTTTTTCAAGCATTTAGATGCATTTGTATTATAAAAGCCAAAGCAAAATCATAACTTGCTCCTAGATGTAGAAAAATTGGGGGGGGGGGGATTTATTAGTTTAATCCTTGTTAGCACAACACAGTCTCTCCTCTATTATTTCATTTGTTCTTTTATTAAAATCTTCAATAATCAGCACAACCTACAATTTGAAAGCAACCATTTTAGGTATGTATCTATTGCCTCATAAATAATTTAAAACAGTAAGGTTAAATGTGTCAATTCAGAGAATTACAAAACAGTTAAGTGGCTTTTCTTAAAATTTCTACTATAGAAATCTGTATATAAAGTATGAAAGAATCAGAATTTATATAAAGTATCTTATATAAAGTATGAAAGCATCTTATATAAAGTATGAAAGAATCAGAATTTCAGAAATATATGGTTTAAGTTAGGATAAATATATACCATCAGCTCATGTTCCTTATCTAAAGAGTAAAAGAAAGAAATGAATATGAACAAATATTTCAGCACCACGATCTATAAGGAGCTAAAATAAAAATTTCCATCAGATGGGTCCTATTCTTGACAATCTTACATTTTTGGACTATGAAAAAATAAATAATTTATTATATTTTAGAATGATACTTAAATATTCTACAGTTTAAATATGTTAAATTAAATAGAACATGTAAGAATACTTTGATGTAACAAAATGAATTGGTCTGAGAACCTCTGGCATAGAGAATGGGCTGCATAAATGAATTAGTCAGTCATCTTGATTTAGCAAAAAAGAGAATTTATAACAAGTTCATAGCTTCAGGGACTTGGTTCAAAGGCTTAAATAATGCCAGTTTGAATAGTTTTAGGCTTTTTGTGGTGAATTCTGGGATCTTCAGACTCATGTCAGCATAAACCCAAGTCCCAATCCTAAGTTTAGTGGCCTTCCAGGTACTGACTGGAAACCCTGGGTTCCAGTCACACTCCTGAGTGTCCCTCTCCCAGCCACCAGGTCTGTATTAATGCTCAGTCCTGCGGACACCACAGCGTGGCCTGTTGGAAGGTGAAGGGATTGCAGGGACAGGCTTTGAGCCCCGGCTGGAACTCCAGGCCAGCCCTCAGTATCCTTTGATCTATACTTTTACTGTTCAAACACATGGCATGTGGACCTCTGTTTGGATTCTTACTCCAAGTCCTTCAAATGTTAGGGGCAGGCTTGGGTTAGGCAACATTTGAAATTTTTTTAAAAAAAAATTTTAATTTTTTTATTTTTATCGGAGAGCAGGAAAAGGTCATTTTAAGCTGAAGCAGGAGAGGGACAAGATAAAATTTAGAACTTTAAAAACATCTTTACTATGGTATAACTGACATAAGTTAGTTGCTTGTTTTTAATGCATACACTTGATAAATTTTGGCACACCAATGAAAGAAACCATTATCACAATTGAGAAAATGAAAAGAAAAAATTTTTTTTTGAAGAACACATATTCAACAAATTACTTTTGTCAAAAAAAAATATATATAAAGGAATCTGAAAATTCAGTAAGGAGACAAATAACCCAATTAAATATAAACAAAATATCTGAGCAGTCATGTCACCAAAGAAGATGTACACTCATCAGAGAAGCACACTACAAGCTGCTCAGCACCAGTAGCCACCAGGAAAACGCCAGTTTGTATTTTCCAAGGTCCCTAGGCCTCTGTGCCCTGGAAGGACTGGGGATAGGAGTGGCTGCAGACCGAACAGCTCAGAGGCTATTGCCATAGGACTAGCAAAGGAGTGTGGTCGCTTGAATAGAGATGGCGGTTGTGGAGATAGGGGGAGAACTACAATAAATTAGGGAAATAGGAAGCAAAATGGATAGGCCTTGACATTTACTTTGGTTTCAGAGGGTAAAGTGTTAGAAATGATTTCAAGTTTTCTGGTTTATGCAGTTGGGTGGATGACGATGCCATTCACAAACATGGGGAAGCCGGGAGGAAGACCAGGTGTGGTGGAAGAAAGAGCTTATGTTACACTAGAGGCCTGGTGCATGGAAATTCATGCCCTGGGGGGAGGGTCCCTCAGCCTGGCCTGCCCCCTCTCACAGTCCGGGAGCCCTCAGGGGCAGGAGGTGACTCAGTGAACAGGGGAAGGTGATGCCCCATCACGCCTCGGCAGCATAAGCCTAGGCCGGCCCTGGTTACCTGAGCTCAGGTGGCCCTGGACAACTGTTCAGCTGTCATTGGAGACTTGCCTGTGCCTCAGGTTGACCCTGGATGGCTGGGGGGCTGAGGGTACTGGGTGCCTCCATCTTGTGGTTGTGGGTGCTGCCATCTTTGAGGGCATGGCAGTCAATTACCATATTCCCTCCTTATTGGCTGTCGTTGCCACCATCTTTGTGATGGCATGAGGGTCAATTAGCATATTCCCTCTTTATTAGGATGAGCACCTTTGTTGTCCCTTTGAGGCACCAAAGTAGAATCCTGGAGCTGGCCATTGGGGTAAGATGTGTTCTGGGCCTTGTATTTGGTGTGGACAGAGTTTAAATGGGAGGAAAGGGAGGAGCAGGGATTGCCAAATCTGATTCCCCTGTCCTGAAAAGCGGGAGGGAGCCTGCTGTTTATCGAGGGTCGACACTAGTAAAGCAGGAAGAACTTCTGGTGAAGAGGAGGCTCCAAGCACTTCTTGAAATACTCTGCCTGGAATCCTTGAGGCATTTTGCCAATCTTGGGGTACCCTGAGCCAGGACAAAGTGAGGCCATAGCTCTCTGGAGTCTCCCTGCTCGTCCACTTCCTACCCTCCCTATTGCTGACTCCCAGTTTAGATGTAGATTGCATGCATGTAATTGTAGTCTCAGAGAAATAAAAAGTCCTGTAGTGCAGGCTACTTAAAAATCTTACTGAATGGTCTTCGGTCCAGTTTTTCCATGTGGATTACATAATCTGTTGAAAGAAGGAAAACACACACACACATACACACATTACTTATTTTTTTATACCTCATTAGTGAATCCACACCATACTGTTCCGCCTCTGTCTGGTTCTCACATTCTTAGAAAGAACAAGGGGATCTTTAAATTCATTCAGTTTGGGTTGGGGAGAGGCCAAAACCAGTTAGTGTCCCCCTGCCCCTCAGAATGGCCTTCTAGCCGCACAATCTAGGAAGGCATTCACAACCTCCCCCTCTCCTTCTCCTGGCTGGGCACAGTCTAGCTGCTATTCTGCTCTTCCTGCAAATATTGGAGAAAGTAAAAGGCACCATTCAGCCTCCTTTGTCTGCCAAGTCTGGCATCTCAGCGGTTTTCTCCGAGGGGCCCTCCTTTTTGGGACCCGCTTTGCCATTAACGGAAACCAATCTGAATGTCCCATTGTGCATCCTTTTTCTTCCCTCGCAGTCTGAAGGTGCCGTTGCCAAGTTCCCGAGCTGAACCTGAAAGACCCTCTCTCATTCCCCCAGTGCCCTGCTTCCAGCCCCATTGAGTCCCCGCGGAGCTTTCTCAGGCAGGAGGGCAGCAGTGTGAGGCCTGGGAGGACCTCGACCTACTCCGCTAACCCAGTGGCCTGAGCCAATGGCAGAGAGGATTGGGGCCTCACTGAGCCTCCCCCCTCCTCTCCCCCCCCCTCCCCCTACACCAGCCTCCTGGGAAGGACACTGGAGGGGTGCATTTGCAATGTAAGTCCTTGGCTTTCTGCCCGCCTCTTTTCCAAATAAGAAGGCAGGAGCTGCTACGAGTTGCAAGGAGGGTCTTCTGAATTGCAGTGGCCCCGGGACTCACAAATCCTCACTCGGGTCTCCTCCATCTGTTTGCAGAGCTAACGGGAAAGGGCAAGGATGGTGGAGGCTTTCTGTGCTACCTGGAAGCTGACGGACAGCCAGAACTTTGACGAGTACATGAAGGCTCTAGGTGGGTACAGATATGTTCTCCTCTTAACCTACAGCTTCAGGCATTTGCATATTTTTTTTTTCACCCATTAGATTGGCAAGTGACAAAGGCAGATCACATTGCAATGAAATATCCATTCTCTAAGGCTGTGCATTTCCCAGGGAATGAATGGGTTTTTCATGTGGAGGTTGCCTGCTCTCTCACCCAGGGCCACGTCTCGGTGGCTCTGATGGCCTGCAGATTGTGTTGTCTCCAGCAGCCACTTCTCTGCGCATCTTTAGATTATGATAATGTGGTAATTGTGTTGTGTGATGAATGGGCTAACCCTAAACATGCCCCAAGGAAACCTGTCCTTTAGGACCTGGGTTCCACACTAGGAGGGAGGTTTTCTGCTCTGGGAAAGCTGCTGCGGTCTGCATGGCTTGCCTTTGCTATTTCAGGTGTGGGGTTTGCTACTCGGCAGGTGGGGAATGTGACAAAGCCAACCGTGATCATCAGTCAGGAGGGAGGCAAGGTGGTGATCCGGACCCAAAGCACGTTCAAGAACACGGAGATCAGTTTCCAGCTGGGGGAAGAGTTTGAGGAAACCACTGCAGATGACAGAAACTGTAAGGTAAGAAGCCACTTGTCAAGGTGTGTGTGTGTGTGTGGGGGGAGATAAAAAAAAATCCTCTCGGCAGCTATAAAGCAGAAGCAGTAAACAAGAGGATAAAAGAGATTCCTGTTTACTTGTTTTTAGATGTTGGGAAGTGAAGAATGACCTCAGTATTTCCGTTCACAGAGAAGGATAGCAGGGTTGATTTTGTATTCTTACATGCATAGGTTATGTTCTGGAAAATGGGTACTTGCTAAAGCTCAGACCTTGAATTAATTTTTTTTTACCGTGTGTTTTCACATTGTATAGTAAATCTGTTTTCCAAAAGGTATTTAATAGCATTTGTTTGAAGGAATGATTGAGTTTTGTTTACTCTCTCTGATTGCTTCAGATTGAATAAACAGCTTACCTCATCCCAAGGCTTTGCTTAAAGGAGGGCGACTAGTCCGAAAGCACCTGCGCAGAATTTTTGTTTCTAACATGTGGAGTTTTTTGCATCTAGGTGTACACATTTCAATCCCATGATGAAATATTAGAGTGTGCATAGTAATGACTCCAGAAACAACACAAGATGTGGTACTAATTTAATAATTACTTGGACACAATTTATTCAATGCTACAACTCTTTCACAAATCACTTCCTTTGACTTTTATATCAGAAACTGGATCTGTAACGGTTTCTTTGTTCTGCTCTTTGTGATTGCTCTCAGTCTGTTGTTAGCCTGGATGGAGACAAGCTCGTTCATGTACAGAAATGGGATGGCAAAGAAACAAATTTTGTAAGAGAAATTAAGGATGGCAAAATGGTTATGGTGAGTAATGTCAGTTCTTCCTGGTGTTTTCCCCTCCCCCTTTTCTTGTCTCCTTTCCACTTCCTCCCTCCGCTCTGTCTCTCTCCTCCTCCCCTTCCTTTCCTTCACTCCCTTCCCCCTTCTCTCTCCCCTCCCTCCTTTCTTCTTTAATAACATTATGTTATTAGCAAGGTTCTTTAAGCAGTAATAAAGCAGAAGCAATAAACACATCCTAGCTAATTGTTTCCTTAGCTCTGTTTCTTTCATGATAGAAAAAGAAAAAATATGTCTGTGAAAAGAATTTTTGTAGGATTACTATGAATGCCTAATCCTCAAATAAAATCTCTATATAAAACCGACAATCATAAAAATATATAAAGACAGTTGATATTCCTATAAGAATATCAACCTAACTGAATCTCAAAAAATTACTCTATAATTTCTGAAATAAATAACAGATATTTAAAAACTTTAAATTTTAGTTTGTAAAAGTTATATGAGTTCAGTGCAGATAACTTTAGAATATAACACAAAAGCCTAACAAAAATGTAAAAATCCTTTTTAATTTCCCCTCAGAGAGAACCATTTTGGTGTTACTTCCAGTCTTTTAAAGGTACCGTTTACAAGTACCTATTCAAAACTGGTAGTCATGTAAAAAATTATAAAATCGTTAATGAATAATTAATGATGTAAAACATCATAAACTGGGAAAAATGTTATGCCTTAATCTAGCATCCCAGACACCTGTGTGTGCGTGTGTGCGTGTGCATGCACGTGTGTGAACCAAGTATGGTATTTTGATCACATTGGAACAATCAATGTGTCGTTTTGCTTTTTTTTCTTTGGAGGGATGGGTTTGCTTTACATATTTTTGGTTTTATTATTTCAGACAAGTGACTTGTTTTTACTCTCTTTCCTGACTGCAATGATTGCTGTTTTAGATTGAGATACAGGGTTTATATACTCACACTTCTTTTCATAGGTGGCAGTGGGGAGCAGAGGACAGTTTTTCTTTCATGCTAACACATATTTGCCCACATTCTTTCTGCAGAAGTGGGATGGCAAAGAAACAAATTTTGCCACCAAAGAAAGGATTCATTTCTGAAAAATTCAACCTTAATTTTCCTTTCTGCTTTTATCTCCATTTCTTCCTAATACAGAAAAGTGGATAGCTTAGCTTTGGTCGTCTGACTGTGATCAAGCAAGATCAAGTTCCAAAAATGTGATTAAGAACAATGGATAATAAATAAGGGCATATTTTAAAAATCACACCAATACATGAAAATAATGAACACTTAAAACCCTAAAATTTGTAAAGAGGTTTTATAGCAATTCTTCAAGTTGGATTTGACATAGGAGCCAATATTCCACGTGTGATCCACTTAATCACCAAGGTTCACGCAGGCTAAAGCGTGACAGCCAATCAAAGAGAATGTTTGCACATTTACCTTTTTCTGCTGATTTTGTAACAAATACTATTTGGAACAAATACTATTAGAATGATTTTGATTTTCTAAAAACGTTTCAAAAGTTATCTGGGTCATGAATTGAAAACTATTAGGAAAACCTACTATAGCGCTGGTTGGTTTGGCTCAGTGGATAAAGCTTCGGACTGTGGACTGAAGGGTCCCAGATTCAATTCCAGTCAAGACATATGTCTGGTTTGTGGGCTCCATCCCCAATAAGGGGCGTGCAGGAGGCAGTTGGGCAAGATTCTCTCTCATCATTGATATTTCTATTTCTTTCTCTCTCTTCCTTCTTTTCTGAAATCAATAATATATATATATATATATATATATATAATATATATTATATATATAAAACCTCAAAAAATAAAATAATCAATAAAAACATATTAAAGAAAAAGAAAACCTACTATAAATACTATAAATTCCATTCACTTTCAAAGCAGGTAGCAAATTTGTTTCAATTACTCTGATAATTCAAGGCAAAAGAAATTCTTTTGACCTGAATCTAGAGAGTTAATCTTAGTTTTTGTTTCATTTTTCTTTTAGAGACATGAACTATATGTACATATTATTTACTCATTAAACATAAGAGTTTGATTTCATTTTAGGAAAGAAAAACTTATGTAGCACTTACTGTTTGTAAATGCCAATATTCTTTTGCATGATATTTAAATCACATACATAATAATCTTTTTTTAAAAGTATGTTTTTATTGATTTTAGAGAGAGAGGAAGGGAGAGGAAGAGAAAGATACAAACGTCAATGAGAGAGACACATCAACATCCCCCAGCTGCCTCCTGCATGCCCCCTGCTGGGGACCGAGCCTGACAGGAGGGCATGTGCCCTGACCAGAATGGAACCAGCAACCATGGGTCGACACTCAACCAGTGAGCCACACCGGCCAGGCTATAAGATAATCTTTAAAAATTTCAGCTACTGAAATTCCTGTAAAATGTTCTGGCTATCTTTTGATCTTTCAGACTCTCACTTTTGGTGATGTGGTTGCTGTTCGCCACTATGAGAAGGCATAGACGGATTCCTGGTTTGGGCCTAGAGGAACTCCACAATTTTTTTGTTACTCAAGTCTCAGTGCTATCCTGCTATTACAGCACGGCTCATCACGTATTAGAAGGTTATCCCTGGTGTGGAGATAGAAAATGGTGGTTTAAAAACTTCTTTAAAAATGTGTTACTTCAAGCAACTAGCCCAACTCTATCTGCAAATCTATCATGTGTAATAGTTCGCATCAAGATTTTAAGCCACGTTTTAAAAATAAAGAGGTGACTATGGTTTGATATTTCTAGTGGAATGTAAATAAAATTGGAATAAAAATCTAATACCCAAGAAAGATTTTGTTGTTTTTAATATCACTAATCTGTCTGGGAATTGTATATTAGAGTTTTAAGTGAAAGAGTCTATGGCATAAAGTAAGGCTGGAAAAGTTAGCACTGTTGTTTAAAATACCAATTAAAAAAAAAAAAAAGCCTACGGATATGTGGACATGCCACTGTTGAGGTTGAGACTTCCACAGAGAATTTGAGACTTCCATTCATTTGGCCAGGATGCAAAGAATTGTTATGGTGGGTGGGATTCACAAATAACTTCTTGCTATTAGAAACAGGCAGGTTGAAGAAGCAAAATGATGTACATGGAAATGTCTTAGTGAAAGGTAAATATGATAAAATATTTAATCACATTGTCATATAATTCAAATATTTTATTGAAAAGTAAATAGGAAAAGGAAGTGAATTTCATGCTGGATTATAAAGATGTGTCTCCAGACACGTACAGTGAGCAGCACAAAGTCAGTGAGAATGCTAACATGCAATGTGCAGGCCAAGTATAAAGGCATTGCATTGCTCTGTGTGGGAGTTGTTGGAACTGAGTTGGCCAAAAGAAAGAAAGTAAATATTTATCTGTTTGTAACTGGCCAGGGTTTACATTCTAAAGTACAAACAGATGCTACATTTTATCATTTATAAAATTCTTTTTATACATTTCCGCAAAGCCATGATGTGAAGCAGGTAAGACAGATAGTATTTTTACTCTTCCAATGAGGTCATTGAAGATAAAATTTCAAGCATTTCTTAGGTTTCAAATACATTTCTAGTACATGTCCAAGTTTTCATGACTAATAAATAATATCAAGAACTGAACACTTTGAAAATTTCCCCTTTATTTCCTCTCAAAAATTAATATTTCAGCTAACTTTTTTTTTTCTGAAACAAAAATGCAAGATTTTATATTTTGGATTCATCCTTAGGAAATCTTTTCTCTTGTAGCCTTTGGGGGTAAGGGCTGAAGAAAGGGTAAATTTTTTGCAGGATAAATATGCAATATTAATTTTTAATCAACCCAGTGATTTCAATAAGTTTCTGTAAGTTAATTCAAGGTCTAATAAATTAATTTACAGATAAATTAAGTATGAGGAAACTTCCTTTAACTTATACAATTTACCATAATGATATTATATTATTACCTGATTATTGTATTACTTGAATTGCCATAATGATGAGTAGAAAACTCTAATATGCAGCCGAAGCCGGTTTGGCTCAGTGATAGAGCGTCGGTCTGCGGACTGAAGGGTCCCAGGTTCAATTCCAGTCAAGGGCATGTACATTGGTTGCGGGCACATCCTCGGTAGGGGGTGTGCAAGAGGCACTGCAGTTGATGTTTCTCTCTCATCGACGTTTCTAGCTCGCTCTCTCTCTCCCTTCCACTCTGTAAAAAAATCAATAAAATATATTTAAAAAAAAAAAAGAAAACTCTAATATGCAGTTATAGGATTTAACATTTGAAAGTACAGTCAATACTGAATGGCAAGATAAGATGGTCTGGGTAAGATTACCATTGCTAAAACTACAGTTTACCTCTATCTATCTATCTATCTATCTCTCTATCTATCTATCTTTTTTTTTTGTCTTTTTTAACACAGGACTTCTTTATTGGTGGTAATCTGTAACACAGGTTTGAGGAGCAGAGGTAGCATGTTTGTGGTGGTGGTGGTGGTGGAGGTCCATGAACCCAAGCATTGAGAGGCTTTTGCTCCAAATAACATCCTTCTGGCATTTATTTCCATAACAACTGTCTCACAGAGTGAGGAATGGAAAGGTTTCTGGATGCAGATCAAGAGTTGCAGTGATGGACCAAATACATTTTGGGGGGAAGATAATTAACATTTTCTTGGTTCCTAAATGTGTGCAAGGTGCTTGCAAATCACTTTTCTTCAAGCTGTATTTTATCTCATATAGTAGTAGTCTGTCAATGTACTAACTTCTCTGGTTTGTCTGTAGGAAAAAACCAAAACCATAGTTAACAGAAAAGAATTAGCAAGCCCAAAGACAAACTTGACCAAGAGGCCCTAGAAAGACATTTTTGAAGCCAAGATCCCAAATATAGAAACTAGGTTAAAGGCTTTCTTATGAAGTCCAACCGTGAACCTTGGCAATGAGCAAGCAGCAGCTTCCTCGAGGTTCCCTCTCACCCAGATATACATTCTTATGACAACACTAGAGGCCCGTTCCACAATAGGCCCCTGGCTTCACTCCCAGATGCCCAGGAGCCAGCAAGACTCCGCCCGGGAGCCGGCATGTCCCCGCTCCCAGGCCTCTCGGAGCTGGCAAGTCCTCACTTCTGTCTGGAGCACCACTCCAGTAGCTCCTTCTGCCAGCACTCCTTTCCCTCATAGCAGGCTTCACACAGCTCTTCGCATGCGTATGTAAATTAACCTCCATCTTTGTTGGGATAATTTGCGTACTCACTGATTGGCTGTGGGTGTAGCGGAGTGATGGTTAATTTGTACGTTCCTCTTTTATTAGGTAAGATACACCAACACCCAGAACATAAGGACCTAGAAATACTCAGGGTTGAGATATCTAACCAGAGATCCTAAGGCACTATGCTTCTTAGAGAGTGAGGATAAAGGAAAGCAAAAGAAAGTAGAGGGAGGAGAAAGAATAATTGCTTCTACCCTTTCATTTCAATATATTGTCCTTTTTCAAGCATTTCTTAGATTTCAAAATGTGTAAACCAGATTTCATGCTTAAGAATTATTTCACAACATGGTCCTGTTCTGGTCTTTTGGCTCCATGGAGGATATGGGGCCTGGAGGGGGTAACTTTGGTTCCAGGTACAAGTGTAGGATAACATTCTCTCCAATGTGCATACATGCTTTGGTTTGGGCATGATTTACAGGTTTGGTCTGTCCTCTGAAAAGCAACAACCCAGCATCTTCTTAGAAACAGGATAGGACCAGTTTGAGCTGGTCCTGTGAGTATACCAGGACCGTTTTGTCCACCATTGGAAAGTACTTTGGTTCTCAAGAGGCCTTTGAATCATCCTAAGGCTGAGGCAGGACTTGAACTGAGCTGGCAGGACATGAAACAGGAAATGGAGGTCTCTTGATTCCACTTCAAAGGCCCTTTCATGAGACGCATTCCCATTTTATTACATAGACTACAAAGCAAGGTTCTCGCTGATGCGAAACAAACACACTTTACAAATCTTCTATCAGGTGAGTTACTCTGGAGGGTATTTTCTTCTCCGAAGGAATTCAGACCCTACAAATGTAAACTATATGCTTCTTTATCTTAAAGGGGTCAGCATCCTCATAAATGGTATTGGAAGGGACACAGAACCCAAGGCAATGTGGGGATCTTGGCTTTTTTTTTCAGACTATTGTGAAAAACAAAACAAATTACAACCGAGTAAATTTGAATATCTAGTTAGCTACATTAAGGGATTCATAAATTGGACAACATCTCACCTCGCTGCCAGAAGGCCTCCAAGGAGTAGTGCAAAATGGAAGGTATTTATGGGAATTAGGGTGGGGCAAGGAAATAGTAACCAAACAAAAGAAGACTATTTGGGCTCAGACAGACATCTTTTCTTTGGAAGAAGAGAATGAAAGTGTTTTTATCATGCAGACTGCTGCTTCTTTCTAGGCGGGATGGAGAGGGCTCAGGTGACTGGTTATTTTACTGGTGCCTGACCAGGAAACTTCATACTGGTTGATTAAGGTGAGACTGGAAGAGACTGAAACAGCAGTGAGTCAGGTATTAAATATAGGTTAGGCATCATAAGCTTTGGCTCAAGTGAGGCTATTTGGGGCCTGTGATTTTCTTTTTAACAGTTTGCTTGTTTTTAACAACTGAGCTAGAAAAATGTCTCAGAACCATACTTTATGCCTTCCAGAGATGCATGAAAATTATAAGTGAAGCTGGTTTATTTTACTCTTCTGAAAGGAGTTTTTAGGAGTAAAATAGGCAGGTTTAGGAAATTTTAGAAATTAAGGGGTCCATGGAAAAAAGCACAGGGCTACAGAACTGCAAAGGGCACATTGCTATAGGAGAAGGGAGCTGGGAGCTGCAGAAGGTACACATTTACAGGATAAAGGGAAGGAAACCCCTAATTCAGAGGGGGAGGCGGGGAGGAAGAAAGCCCAGAGGGAATAAGAAAATGATAAGGGAGAAGAAGAGAAGAACCTCACGTACTTCTGTTACAGAAGACCGGAGAAAAGCCAAGCCACACTTAGAGAAAGGGAGTTACATTTTATTATGCACAGGCCCAGAGAAAAATGTGTCTTTCAAATTTTGCCCCTCCACCCCCAACATGGAGGAAACTTTCATTATTTATACTTTTTCCAGTCCTTTGTCTCCCACATTTGGAATGAGACTTCCGAGCCTTCTGAGAAAGAAGGCCTACCTGCTGGGAAGGGACCATGAGACCATATCTCAAGGCCTGGTCTGGTGCCAGCACTGACAACTCTGGTGCATAGTTTATGGCCTCTTGGAATGGGCGTAGTCTTATTTAAGCAAGCAAGTGTTTACAGAAGCCAAAATAGCAGAATTAATATTTCAAACAGCAGTTTTTATATACAATGGATGTTTTCCTCAAGTGAGGTTTGAGCTCTGAAGTTGCTATAGTGACCAAATCAGAGGGGCTGGTGACCAATCAGAGGGGATGTCAAGGCGCAAAGAACTGCAGTCTTTATAAACCATGGAGAGAAGGGCCTCAGTGGTACCCTTCCCCCTCCCCACGCGGGAGTCTGTGCTTGTTTCTCAGTAAATTTTCACCTTTTACTATACCATGGCTTCATTCTTTGACTCCACCGGACAAGAGACGGGGAACCATCCTGCCCAGAGAACCACACGTTCCAGTCCAATTTTCCTGTTTCGCTTGAAGGAATTTTTTTTATATGCAAAGGTGGGAATTTATTGAAGACCAAGTATAGACTCCCATGTGGGGAGGGGGCAAGAGTCCCTTTAAGGAATTTTTGAAGATACTGTTAAGGAAAAAAATCACAGACCCAAAATGGTGTCACTCATTAAAAAGTCCTACATAATGCCAAACCTTTGTTTAATATATAATAGTGATTATATATTAAACAAAAAAATCAATAAAACATATATATATTTTTAAAATATATTTTATTGATTTTTTTTACAAAGAGGATGAGAGAGGGACAGAGAGCTAGAAACATCTATGAGAGATACATTGATCAGCTGCCTCTTGCACACCCCCTACTGGGGATGTGCCCACAACCCAGGTACATGCCCTTGAACGGAACTGAACCTGGGACCTTTTAGTCAGCAGGCCAAAGCTCTATCCACTGAGCCAAACCGGTTTCAGCAATAAAATATATTTTTAAAATCACACAAACTTTAGAAACAAATGACAACAGCCAACACAATAGCTGGCCAGTGTGAATGAATCGAAATTATACGTATTCTTTTTTTTGTCAGATCAGAAAAAAAAAAAAAAAAAAAAAAAAAAAAAAAATATATATATATATATATATATATATATATATATAGTAATTAGTTTATGTGTGCCACAAGAAGAAAAATGTTAAAAATGAAAACTTGGTCATGTGGGCTCACTCCCCCCACAGAAAGAAGAGGCAATCTGCATGATTAAAACCCTGGGTTCTCTAAGCCCCCGAAGTCTTGCTCTCACAATGTTTTTTCTTCTGTTAATAGTTCTCTTGTCCCTCCCTTCTTCCTATAAAAGCTTCCATCTTGTACAACTCCTCGAGCCCTCCCGGGGTCTAGATGTGACGCTCCCCAATGGAGAAATCACTTAGCCAAATTGATCTTCACCTGGACTTAGTTGAATTTTGTTGTTTTTTAAAAAATATATATTTTATTGATTTTTTTTTTTTTTTTAGCAGAGAGGAGGGGAGAGGGATAGAGGGTTAGAAACATCCATGAGAAACACTGACCAGCTGCCTCCTGCACACTCCCTACTGGGGATGTGCCCGCAACCAACGTACAATACATGCCCTTGACCGGAATCGAACCTGGGACCCTTCAGTCCTCAGGCCAATGCTCTATTGATTGAGCCAAACCGGTTAAGGGCTGAATTTTGTTTTTTGTAACAAACAAGACTCCTGGGGACCTCAGGTATTGAGAAGTGGTCATGGACACATCACCGTCGCTTCAGCTTGTGGAAAACCCAAATTACTGGTCTCCAAACCCCAGAGTTTCTGATTCAGTGGGCCCGCTGTGGAGCCTGGGGATTTTCATTTCAACTCGAATTTCCAGGCAGTGCCGATGCCGCTAAATTCAGGATATTGGCGTGTCCCCTCTGCGGAGAAGGCCCTCGGGGTTCAGGTTCAGGGCCTCGGGTCTGGTAGGCTGAAGGTAAGGTGACCAGACGTCCATTTGTCCCGTGTCCCGCGGCGTTAAAAAAAAAAAAAATCCGAAAAAGAAGGAAGAATCTTTCCAAAAATCGGGACTTTTTTTTTTTTTAAACGCGCAGGAGACAAATTGTTAGAAATCGGGGCTGTCCCGCCCAAAGCGGGACGGCTGGTCAGCTTACTTAAGGGCCAGGTGGCCGGGCCGAACACATTTCTTCCCGGGGCAATTGCTGACGCCCAAAGGGCTGCAGTCATCAGCCAGCTCCCCGGGTCAGGCCGACCCAGGGGCGGCGGACTCTGCCCCGCACGTGACCGCTGGGCGTCCGCACACACCCCGTCTCCTCCTCCTCCGCCCCCTCCACCTTCCTCTCCCCCTCCTCCTCCCCCTCCTCCACCAGCACCTCCTCCTCCACCTTCGCCTCCGCCTCCACCACCTCCTCCTCCTCCAGCACCACCTCCTCCTCCTCCGCCTCCTCCGCCTCCACCTCCTCCGCCTCCACCACCTCCTCCTCCAGCACCACCTCCTCCTCCTCCGCCTCCGCCTCCGCCTCCACCTCCTCCGCCTCCACCACCTCCTCCTCCAGCACCACCTCCTCCAGCACCACCTCCTCCGCCAGCACCACCTCCTCCTCCAGCACCACCTCCTCCGCCTCCACCTCCGCCTCCTCCTCCACCTCCGCCTCCGCCTCCTCCAGCACCACCTCCTCCTCCAGCACCACCTCCTCCGCCTCCACCACCTCCTCCTCCTCCAGCACCACCTCCTCCAGCACCACCTCCTCCGCCTCCGCCTCCGCCTCCAGCACTCCACCGCCTACAGCACCACCTCCTCCGCCAGCCACCACCTCCTCCTCCAGCCACCACCTCCTCCGCCTCCTCTACCTCCTCCTCCAGCACCACCTCCGCCTCCTCCACCACCTCCTCCACCCCCTCCTCCTCCAGCACCACCTCCTCCGCCTCCACCGCCTCCTCCTCCAGCACCACCTCCTCCAGCACCACCTCCTCCGCCTCCACCACCTCCTCCTCCAGCACCACCTCCTCCAGCACCACCTCCTCCGCCTCCACCACCTCCTCCTCCAGCACCACCTCCTCCGCCTCCACCTCCGCCTCCTCCTCCAGCACCACCTCCTCCGCCTCCGCCTCCGGGCCGCCCAGTCCCGCCCGGCCGTCCCGATGGCGCTGCGGGCGCTGCTGTGCTGCCTTGGGGCGCTGTGGCTGGGCCGCCCCGGCCTGGCCCTGCCCCCGGGCCCCGCTCCGGCGGCCGGTGAGTCTCCGGGCCCCTTCCCTCCCCGCGGGGCCGGGAGCGCCGCTCCGAGTCTGCAAAGTGCCCGGGACCCGCCGGGCTCCCGGGCCGGACCCTGGGGAGCTGAGCGCCGGGAGGAAAGGAGGGAGGGCGGCCGGGCCCCGCCGGGGAGGGCCGCGGGGCGGGCGGGGTGCACGCTGTGCTCCGGTGTTTGGCTCCGGGAAGGAAGGAGCAGTGCGCGCCGGTGGGAAAGCGGCCGGCAGTGGGCTGTCCCGCGCTTCTCCCCGCGGCCCCGATCCGCTCAGAGCCCCGGGGAGCCGGGGGGGGGGGGTGGCATCTCAGTGGGACTCGGAGGATCTTCGGTCCCCGCCACCGAGTTTGGTGACATTGACGCGAGTACGGTCACAGCCTCGGGGCTCCCCACCCAAAGTCCGTCGTCTGCCTTGGGACCCTCTTTTCTCGCAGCCTGGATGCTGGGCTGCGGGCGGACCGGCCTCACGCATCCTCAGCCCTTTCCCCAGGGCCTGTACCCGGGCTGGTTCTCAAAGTGCCGGCCGGGGCAGCCAGCACCAGCATCACCTACACTGGCTAGAAATGCAAGTTCTCCATCCCTACCCTGGCCTATGGATCCCGAAACTCCGAGGATTGGGGCCCAAAGATCTGTTTCAGAAAGTCTCTTGGTGACTGATAGACGCTGCAGTGTGAGAACCACTGGTCCAAAGAGATGCCTGTTAGGTGAGCGATTTCACCGTGCCACCTGAGCCGTCAGTTTCCAAGGTCAAGGTGCCCGCACCTCCCAGACCCCCCTTAGAAACACTTGCTCTGCTCCTCAGAGAGGGGAAAGTTAGACAGGGCTCTGGGGCATAGATGTCTCTGAAACTCAGCGCAGTGCCCAGTCCTGAAACCTGTGTTGCCCTTTCTCATGTGGCTGAAACGCAGTGAGAAAAGTGCCTCCTCTTTGAAAGCCAAGTGCACATGACTCAGCTCTGAGGCAGTGGAAAACAAGAACGTTTCCCAACTGTCAGTCGTAAGAAATGGTTCCCAAAACACTATGTCTGCTGGCTCCTGCTTTCACTAAAGCTGGCGCCGAGCTTACGTAGGTGGCTGTTCAGGATTCAGAGATAGAAGGTCCCCAGGTTGCATGGGGCGAACCAATGGCAAGTTCCCCTTTTGCTTTTAAGAATCCGGTTGCTGAAGATTTCAGTGCCTCAGTGCTGGGGTCTAGCCAATCTACAGTCACACCTCTGTGTTTGGGTAGGAAAGCAGCAAGATTGAATCCTGGGGAAAGGTAACTTCAAAGAGCTGCTTAAGTGTCACCTTGGACATATTTCACTTTTTCATTTGATGTAAACTCCCAACCATAGTATGGTGGGTGCTGGCTTTCCTTACAACACCTACCATACCATGAAGGCCTCTGGCTCACTATTGGGTGTGTATGTGTGTGTGCACACGCTTGCAAATGCCCAGTCTCAGTTTCCTGTCTGAGTCCTGGTGGTCAAGAGGACAAACACCCGGGGAAGCTCCACCAGAGTGTGTTTAGTTAGCCACAACCCTTTAGCTCAGGAGGTCAGGACCTGCTGGACTATTTGGTAGGAACGGACGTAAACAAATAAACGGAAGCCCGTATTTTTAACAGTAATATGTCCAAACATGGTTTACCAGATTTTTTAGGATAAATTTAAACTGTGATCGGCAAACTGCAGCTTGCGAGCTACATGCGGCTCTTTGGCCCCTCGAGTGTGGCTCTTCCACAAAATACCACAGCCTGGGCGAGTCTATTTTGAAGAAGTGGCGTTAGAAGAAGCTTAAGTTTAAAAAATTTGGCTCTCAAAAGAAATTTCAGTCGTTGTACTGTTGATATTTGGCTCTGTTGACTAATGAGTTTGCCGACCACTGAATTAAAACATTTTAAGATAAATACGTTTGGGGGGTATGTGTATAATTTTTGAGCACTTATGTACCTATGTTGACAACACCCACATATATTTGTGGGGATATTTTTAACGAAAGTGGTCATGGTGTAGGGAAAAGAACTTTGGATTGTTAACCAGAGACTCTGAATTGGAATGTGGGCTCTGCTGCAGGCCAGGTCTATGGTCTTGGGGGCGCGCGCGCGCGCGCGCGCGCGCGCGCGCGCGCGCGCACACACACACACACACACACACGCACACTCAGCATTTTATATACAATTTTATTAGAAGTGGAAGGTAAGGCCTCCTAAGGTTCACCATTCGTAAATCTCAGGCTAGGAGCCTGTCAGAGCGCATTCTTAGCTACTGTTTAAAGACTCCCTCCAGTGCACCTAAGTAATTACCCCTCACTTACCTGTCTGGGAATCCAGTGTAGTGGAAAGAACACTGGACGGCAAGCCCGGAGGAACTGGTTCCAGTTTAGCTTTCATTGCTGGAGGGAATCCTGAAATTTGCCTATGCCTAATTAAAGAATGTTGTTGAGGGCCTAATATAGGTCAGACACATTCTAGATGCTAGAGATATATACATCTCAGTATAAAATTATATATGGTGGATATGTCCTTAATGTGTTTTCAGTTTTGGTTTATAAAAATGTGGTATATTTATAATCTCATGTCCTTTAATCACAGTAGGGGTCAGCATCCATTTTACACGAGATGAGAGAGAGAGAGAGGGGTATCACAGGGAGGAGCAACAACCTGTTATCCAACTGTAAATATTTATGTAAAAAGATAAAGAAAAAAAAAGAGAATTAGATTTAACACCATTTCTTTTCTAATCAACAGGACAGTTCTGGCATGTGACTGACTTACACTTAGACCCTACTTACCACATCACAGATGACCACACCAAAGTGTGTGCTTCGTCCAAAGGCACAAATGCCTCCAATCCTGGCCCTTTTGGAGATGTTATGTGTGATTCTCCGTATTACCTTATCTTGTCAGCATTTGATTTCATTAAAAATTCAGGACAAAAAGCATCTTTCATGATATGGACAGGGTAAGTTTCTATCTAATAAAAGAGTAACATGCTAATTGACCGTATCTTTGCAACGCCTACCAGCCAATCAGGAGTGACTATGCAAATCAACCCAACAAAGATGGCAGGTTAATTTGCATACACCAGGGCTGAGCAGCCCGGGGCTGGGGCAAGACACAGGCTTTCTGCACCACCCCCAGCTGCTCCGGGCCTCTGAGCAGGGTATGAAGGAGGAAAGATGGCTCCAGGCCAGAGTGAAGGTGGTGCCCACAGCCAGGGAAAGGAAAGCCCATTCTGGCATGAATTTTTGTGCATCGGGCTTCTAGTATTATATAAATACCATGAGTTACTCAGTGTCTTAAGCTTCATTAGATTGTTGAATTCCGTAAGATTAATTATGCTTTAAAATTACTCAGTTTAAGAAATTCTACGTCATTCAAATTAATCAACATTAGAGATAAAATTTTTAGAATTGTGTGGGGTTTTTTTTGAGTACACACTCTAGAAATATGTTGATGCAAATACATGAATCCATAAGCAGCATACTTATATCGATGTCTTGATATTTTATCACTTATTAATGTGATAAAAGTCTTGATTTAATAAAAACAAATGGCAAAAATGGGAGTTAATCTGTGATAGCAATTTTGCAAACAGCATCGTCTGGTGGTATAATGAAATAATTCGATCCATTATGACAGAGCGACGAGGCCTGCATTTCCTGTACCTGAAACAGCATTATTGTTTTCTCCATTTTGCATATAAGGAAATGAAAGCACTGAGCGTCTAAGTAACTTGCCCAAGTGCGCACAGCCCGGGAGTGGCAAAGCTGGGATTTTTGATCTAGGCATTTTGGCTCTGGAATCTGTGCTTTTCATTTACTAACATTTTTTATCTCTCAAAAATCTGCAGTCAGGCAGTAAAACAGGCTGAGATTTCTAGTTTATCTTTTGTGATTACACACATTTTTAAAATGAGATTCTTTGTGGGAGAAAGGTAAATGAAGAGTAGCTTACCAACTCTTCACTCGTATCTGCTGTTTTACAGTGGAGGTCTGCGAAGACAGTACCCAGCAAGGCATTGTGCACACGTCTCGTGAATTCTCTGTGTAACTTGACTTTGTCCTCTATGATTCTCTGTTCTTTTCAGGGATAGCCCCCCTCATGTTCCAGTGTATGAACTCTCCACAGACACAGTCATAACGGTGATTGCTAATATGACAACCACCGTCCAGAGTCTCTTTCCAAATCTCCAGGTTTTCCCTGCGCTGGGCAATCATGACTATTGGCCACAGGTAAGTCTGACCTTAACTTCCCATCAGTGGTGCAAAAAGTATGACAGTAACTGACTGATGGGAGTGGGGCTCATCGAGGCAGAGTGTGCTCTTAATGCTACCCATCAAGGAAGGCAAGACGAGTGTTTCAAGGACTTTAAAATGACTCTTAATAACTCATAAGATGTTATGTCCATAGTTTGTGTTCGGAAGCACATACCTAGTTGGTGAAGTATTAGTTTTTGTTTCTCTTTTTAATCTTCCTTTATTTCACCTTTCTTTTGAGTGCTTTTGTCATTCACTCATATTTATGTGATTCAGTTTGGGAGGAAGGTTAACGTCGACAAATGTTTATTTTTCAGAATTTCAATTTGGCATACTAAACTCACCACACCCTAATCTAAGCTAGATTGAGATCGGAAACTTTAAAAACATAGCAAACTATCATGATCATGTTTATGTTCAAGCCCAGTTTATCTAATTAAGATGTGATTCAAGGCAGAGACTATATTCAGAATATTTAATGCCTGATACAGCCGAGTTTCAACTTACCAGAACAGCTTTTTGTTAAGCAGCCTGTGTGTAACAGCTAATACCAGCTTTGGTTTCAGGGTCTTCTTGTAGTAGTGTAGAACCCCCAATTTATACAGATTTAAGAGATTATTGTTTAGTCCAAAGCATGGCAAATTAGGGCTTCTGGTCCAAATTGGCCTGCCACCTGTTTTAAATAAAGTTTTATTGAAACACAACCATGTCTATTCTTCCTGTATTGCCTATGGCTTCTTTTGCACCAACTGCAGAGCAGAATAGCTGTGACAGAACGCATCGCTCATAAGGGTTGCTTTTTGTAGAAGAAGTTTGCTGACCCTGGTCTATTAGGTCTAGTAATAATTAATGTCGTTTTCTAATACTTTTTTAAATCGAATTTATTTAAACAATACAACAAAATTTAATCAACAATATAGTTGCCGTTGTTTTCTACTACTTGTGCCCAGCGCTCAGGAAGCATTTTAATCCCTCTGTTGTAAAATTCTTGTGATTTTGATGCAAAAAATTCGGTCAATGCATTTTTGAGGCATTCTTCATTATTAAATTTTTTTCCAAGAAGGAAGTTTTGCAAAGAACGAAACAAATGGTAATCGGAAGGGGCAATGTCAGGAGAATATGCAGGTTGAGGGAGAACTTCCCATTCCAACTGGCGCAGTTTTTCAGCAGTGATTCTTGCAGTATGCGGTCGTGCGTTATCGTGGTGAAGAATTACGCCCTTCCGATTAATCAGCGCGGGTTCTTTTTCTCTTAAAGCTTGGGCTAACCTTTCCAATTGGGCACTATACACTGCACTTGTAATGGTTTGGTTAGATGGTAAAAGTTCATAATGAAGAATTCCTTTAAAATTCCACCAAACACACAACATCACTTTTTTCGCATGCAAGTCAGGTTTTGGTGTGGGCTGCGGAGCCTCATTTTTGTCCAACCATTGAGGCCGCCTTTTCAAATTAACATACAGCACCCATTCTTCATCTCCAGTAACAATTTGCTCTAAAAACGGCAAACGGTTTTGACGAGAGAGGAGCGAACTGCAAATTGTGACTCTTTGATTACGGTTGTTGTCGGTCAACTCATGAGGAACCCATTTTCCAAACTTTTGGACTTTGCCAAGTGCACGCAATTGATTGGAAATTGTTTTTTGTGAACAATTTAAAGTTGTTGCAAGCTCTTGTTGGGTAATTTGAGGATTTTGCACCAAAAGAGCTTGAAGAGCTTCTTGATCAGAATTGGACACACAGCCTCGACCACTCTTGTCATCTAACGAAAAATTTCCCTCGCGAAATTTCTCAAACCAACGCTGGCATTTTCTGGCGCTAACTGCATCTTGACCAAGAGCACTACAGATGTTTTTTGCAGCCTCACTTGCTTTTCTTCCTAATTGGAACTCGTAAAGCATGCAGTGCCGAATATGCTCTTCATCCGCCATCTTCTTAGCCCTAGTTTTGCAACAAAAACCAAACCAAACACAAACTTTTTCAAGCAAAACTTGTTAATTGCACTTCACACGTTCTGTAGATACCACGTGTTTGAAGGTTATGTCAATACAAGTCAACGCCAAGCAAGATTTTAAACGAATGTTAAAAAATGACATTAATTATTACTAGACCCAATAAATCTACTCTTCATTTTATAGATGAGAAAACAGGCCTAGAAATGTTAAGTTGCTTGTTAAATGCTCACAATCACTCAGGGGTGGAGCCCACATCCTGGATCTTTTGTGTGCAGTTAGACCAGTGTGGTTTCACACATCCCTAGCTCTTGCCAGAATAACATACTCAACAACTCTGGATTATGATGTTTACTTTCCTGCCTCTCTTTGTCTACATTTCTCTTTTTGCTTAGAATACCTTTTCCATCTCATGTCAAAAGGATGCTTCATGAGAGTTTTGATTATATTAGTTCATCGAACCTGAGCAGAGTGGTTTTGAAAAGTTGTACCCTGGGACGGGTGTTAAGTTTCACCTAACTTCCTGGCACTGGCCTCTGGACTTGAGATGAATGAAGTGTGAGTCTCTGTGAGTTGTCCTCTCAAGCAGTGTCACCTTTTGTGACCCCTGAGATGGTAGACACTCAGGGCAGAGGCTCGGGGATGGTAGTCTCTGGAGCCAGAGGTTGCACGTTGTTTTATTAGGTGACAGGCAGACTGGTGCGGTGGAAAAGTGAGTTACATTCACTAGAATTAAATCCTCATCTCGTCCTGCTTCTAATAGCTTGACCAACTTGGATAATTCACTTCATGTCCCTGATCCCTAGGTCACTCATTTGCAAATAGGTGCAATAATACCCTCCTTGCAGAATTTTTGTGAGAAGAAGTGACACTTTATGAAAAGGCACAACTTCCTAACCACCACATAGTAAGCCCTCAGTAAGTGGAGTGGTGGTTGTTATAGCATTAAGCTGTGGCATGCGATACATTGTCCTATCTCCTTGGAGGATTTTTTTATTTTTTTATTTTTATCTCTGTCTTCTTTTGATTTATGTTTAATTTTTAAAAATCTTTATTGTTGAACATATTACAGATGTCTCCTTTGTCTTCTTTTATGAAGTCACATCTTATAATAATTCAAAGACGTAGGTACTACCCAACTTCTAAACTGTATCCTATTATGTATACAGCTAAGATAAATTGGACAGCCTGTATACATACATACATATATATATATATATATATATATATATATATATATATATATATATATATATTTATTTCTTCATTGATTTCAGAGAGGAAGAGAGAGGGATGGAGAGATAGAAACATTAATGATGAGAGAGGATCATTGATCGGCTGCCTCCTGCTTGCCCCCTATTAGGGATCAAGCCCACAATCAAGGAATGTGCCCTTGGCTGGAATCAAACATAGGACCCTTCTGTCCACAGGCCAACGTTCTATCCACTGAGCCAAACCGGTTAGGGCAGCCTGTATACCTTAAACAGTTAATTTTTCTCCTCTTTCTAGCTTATGAGTTCATATTTTAAAATCTTTTTGTTATTCTACTCCCATTCTTCCATCCCACATGTAACACTTCAGGAATGTCAAATGAAAGCCTCCCATCAGTATTACTAGAGACTGATACCTGGGATTGAAATCTGGAGAGTATTGGTAACAACACAGATGACAAGTGTTATTTCCATTAAAACCCATAAACATGTACATAAACATAGCTACATGGTCATACACATGCAGAGAGGCATGTCCCCACCCATTCCATCAGAGTGTGGGCAGCCCGGGCATGCCTTCCCATGGCCACCCGCCCTGGAAAGCAGTCTGGGCAGGATCCTCATTTACTCCTAAACTGGTAAGACTGGTGCCATGAAACTTACCTATGGGTCCCAGTGAATACCTCATTTCTCAGCAGTGGTCCTGTCACAGCCCAAACACACTGAGAGGATAGTATGGTCCAGTAGACAAGTGGAGGTAAGCGTGATGGCGCAAAGACCTGGGATTTAGATCCAGCTCTGTGACTGACCAGTTGTGCCTGGATAAATCACCTAAGTTCTCTGGTGCTGATATTTCTCATATTTAAAGTGGAAAAGTGTAGAGTGCTTTTTATATAGTGTTAAGATTCCACTTGACCATGTTAGTATCTTGGTTTTCATCTTAAAGCAAACACATGGTAGAAACTTTAGGGTTTTTTTTTTTGTTTTGTTTGTGTTTTTTTTTAATGATGATCAATTTTTGATTTTTTTCTAATTAGAGAAACATAGATCTGAGAGTGCAAAATTGATTAGTGGCTTCCCTTACACTTCCAAACAGGGATCGCTCCCCATACCCAGGCATGTGCCCTGACCAGTAATGGAACTGTCAATCTTTTGGTACAACCTTTTGGTGCATAGGACTATGCCCAAATAACTGAGCCACACCGGCCAAGGCAATGACAACTAATTCTAAATCAAAATCTAGATTGGCCTAAACCATTGTGTAATTTTCAGACAGGTGACTCTGATCTCTGACACGAACTGAAAATATGCTTTGGATAATTAGTCCCAGTTAAAACAAATTATTTGGTTATTACTTACTCTGAATGTATTTAGACTTTCATTATGTACTAGGTATATGCATTAGGAACTAATGTGACTTGGGTGTCATCTTGAGAAATAACTAAGCATTTTAATTAATGCTGACAAGGAAACTCCTTTAAGAAATATGTCTCTATCATTATTACACAGAAGGAAATGAGGATAGTGAATAAAATGCATTAGTTTTATATTATACTTTTTAAAGACAAAAGTGGGAGTAATTACCCAATTTTACAAATGCTTTCTGGGTTTCTATTCAGTATCTACTTTCTTAAAGTTTTGTTTATTTTCTCCCCTAGAAAATAAACATACATTATTATAATATGATAAATAGGATGATAAAAGATACTTTAAGATAATACAAATAATGTTTTATACATCTAGTTCACCATTAAAAATCAACAAGTTGGTAAAATTCAGGCTGACATAAGAGACTTCTTCGAATCAATTTTGTGTGGTTATAAATCTTTAAGAAGCTTTTTACTAGTGTTAACATTTCAGAGGACTTATTCTATTTTTTTCCATTCCTTCCACATGCTATGATTCCACATATGAAGGAGATTCCACATATGAGTGGGATCATGTGATACTTGTCTTACTCTGACTGGCTTATTTCGCTTAACATAATACTCTCCAGGTCCCTCCATGCTGTCTCAGAGGGTAAGAGATCTAGATTTCACATACATGTGAAATCATAAGGCATTTTCCCTTCTCTGTCTGATCCTTTTTTGGTCAATTTGATGAATCATTATTCAAGGCTTGGTTCAAATGCTCTATTGTCTCTCCCTGCTGACTCTGGACCAGATTTGATTCTTCTTGCTTCTATACTCCCAGAGCCTCTGCAGTAGTACCTAGTGCACTGTCTTATAGGTGATCCATTGTATTTTGTCCCTGTCTCTCCAACTATGTTATATACTCCTTGAAGATTACCTCCATCTAGTATTCATCTTTGCATTTTCAGATACCTAGCATAGTAGTAAACACTCAAGCAATGTTTAATTAATTGATCCCCACAGTCTTCAGAGTTTCAATGGTGAATTATATTGTTTGTGGCCAGGATCAACTGCCTGTTTTCACCAGCAAGGTGTACAATGCAGTAGCAAACCTCTGGAAACCATGGCTAGATGAAGAAGCTATTCAGACTTTAAAGAAAGGTAAGTGAGAGATTTACTACTTTGCTTCTATTTTTATTAATGTTGTTTAGACTTAGGTCTTTCATATTTGCTTGGCTGTGCCAATTCTGAAGAGCCTCTGTACCCAGTTTTTCTGGAGGCCACAAATCATGTTTGAAAGCTGAGGGGAGAGAGAGAGAGTCATGGATGGTGAGTGGGCTCAGGGCCAGCATCTCAGTGACTAGCTCTGACAAGTAGACTCTTGGGCATTCTGTTGCCACTGGTTTGCTGGCATCAGTGGGCTTATGCCTTTAAGCTTCATCTCCATGGAGGATGTAGCATCTCTGGTTTGTCTGCCATTTATTCAGTGGTCTCTGGCAAGATCCCATTCTCTGGATTTTGTATTTCACAATAATTCTCATCTTCACTTTCCCAATCATACTATATTAGGAGTTGGTATAGTAATATTTCTTTTACAAAGTTCAATACCTTGTTGTTTAGTGCCAGTATATTTATTTTATTTTCACCTGAATATTGGAAACAACTCTTGTTACCTCTATGTATAGAAGAGCTAACACATGGACTTAGCACATGGTAGGTTTTCCATGTTTGTTAAACCTGATTCTTATCTAATGATGGCTTATGTATAATATACAAACTAAACAATGAGATCCTATATAATAAAAGCCTAATATGCAAATTGACTAAACTGCAAAACGACCAGTCGCTATGATGCACACTGACCACCAGGAAGCAAACACTCAATGCAGGAGCTTCCCCCAAGCCCTAGGCTAGCCAAGGTAGGTGCCGGGCGGGGCGGGTGGGGGGGTCCCCTCAATCACCCTACCAGTCGCCCTGCAGAGGGAGGCGACTGGCAGCGGGGGGTAGGGGTGGGGCCAGTGAATGGGCAGTGTCAGGCTGGCCAAGGCAGGTGCTAATGGATGCCCCTGATCATCCCATTGATCACCCACAGATAGGCCCTACTTGCTGTCAGGCCTAGGGTCCTTTCCCGTGCACAAATTTCATGCACCGGGCCTCTAGAATAAATATAACTATCATGGCTGGTATGTAAATCCTTTAAAAAAAAAATTTTAATGAAGAATTTGCTTTTATAGTAACTGCATATCTGTGTGTGTGTTTCTCTAGAATAAGTTTAAATTTGTTTTTATAGGTGGCTTTTATTCACAGAAAGTTTCATCTAATCCGAACCTTAGAATCATCAGCCTGAACACAAACTTATACTATGGCCCAAATATTGTGACTCTGAATAGGAGTGACCCAGCAAATCAATTTGAATGGCTAGAAAATACACTGAATATCTCTCAGCAAAATAATGAGAAGGTATATTTCATAGACCCAAATCATAAGGGGATAAACAGAGGGCTAAATTTGTATATTTATTAAACTTGTCGGGGGGGAGGGGGGGAGGTATGTGTCAGGAATTAATAAAAATAAAATTTGAAGATGTTTTCATATGAAATGCATGATAATTTATCTCTTGTTATTTGTTTTATTTTGTTTTGCTTTTAATGTTTTGAGGATTGATTGACATCAGTTCATATAAAAAGAGGCTGATATTAAAAAAAATTGTGACCAATGTCACAGTTAATGCAACAGTGTCGTTTATTATTTTTAACTAGAGGCCCAAAGCATGAAATTTGTGTGCAGGGCAAAGGTAGGGGGTTCCTCAGTCCAGCCTGCACCCTCTCCAATCCGGAATCCCTCTCTCAATCCAGGACTGCTGGCTCCTAGCCACTCACCTGCCTGCCTGCCTGATTGCCCCTAACCACTCTGCCTGCCTGCCTGATTGCCCCTAACCATGCCTACCTGTCTGCCTGATGCCCCTAACTACTCCCCTGCTGGTCTGATCACCCCTAACCACTCTCCCCTGATAGCCTGATCACCCCTAACCACTGACCCCTGATGGCCTGATTACCCCTAACTGCTCTACCTGCCTTCCTGATTGCCCCTAACCGCCTTTGCCTCGGCCCCTGCCACTGTGCTAATTAGACATCCAGAAGATGTCCAGTCTAATTAGCATATTACTCTTTTATTAGTATAGATATTTTTTTATTGATTTCAGAGAAGAAGGGATATATATATATATATATATATATATATATATATATATATATGTGTGTGTGTGTGTGTGTGTGTATATATATATATATATATATATATAGAGAGAGAGAGAGAGAGAGAGAGAGAGGGAGAGAAACATCAATGAATGGAGAGAACCATTAATTAGCTGTCCCCTGCACACACCATACTGGTGGAGGATCGAGCCTGCAACCTGGTCGTGTGCCCTTGGTCGGAATCAAACCTGGATCCCTTTAGTCTGCAGGCCAACGCTCTATCCACTGAGCCAAACTGGCTAGGGCAGCAGGGTAGTTTAAAAGAGACAAGAGCAAATATAACAAAATAAATAGTTTTCTAATTTTATATTTTTTGGTAATAAAAAGGAGAGATGGTATATTTGCTTTCTAAATTTTAATTAATATGCTTTTGATCTTGGGTATCTAAATGTCATTTAGTTACAACAAATGTGAAGAAAGATGCTCATCAGCCCTCCTGTGTTTCTTTCCCCAGGTGTACATCATAGCACACATCCCAGTGGGCTACCTGCCCTTTTCCATGGGCACCACGGCCATGAGAGAATTCTATAATGAGAAACTGATCAGTATTTTTAGAAAATACAGCAGTGTCATTGCGGGACAGTTTTATGGTCACACTCACAAAGACAGCATCATGGTTCTTTCAGATGAAAAAGGTAAAGTTAGAAGCACCTCTTCCAGGTAACACACAGCCCCCGGGGTCAGAGGGAGAGGGCTGTCCCCAACCTCGATTCTTGTCTCTTCATATAAATGCGTTTATGCAAGAGACCTCGATTGCTTTGTGATGAAGCCAATTTTATTAAAGCAAGTAAAAGCATCACCTTTATTGAAGAAGCAAGCCAAGCAAATCTATACATCTGGCTTATGAAACACAGTTCTCAGCTAATCTGAAGAGTGAGTGGCGTGGGGATCTGAGGCATTATATACCCTCCTGTCTATAGGTTTCAACATCCCTCTGCTGAATATTTAGATACAGGTTCATTCTCAAGGTCCCTTTCCACCTTGCTGTGTCCTCCCCAGACTGCATGAGAAGCACCTGGCTACCATACCTGGTCAAGCCTTGAGGCAGCTGGCTTCTCTGCTTAGGGAGTAAAACTGCCTTTTTTCCTCTCTCTCCCTCCTTTTCTGCATTCTCTCCTCAGGGAGGATTTTAACAATTAGCTCTCAGGTGTCCTTGGCTGGGGAAGATAGTGGGTTGTTGTTTACAAGCCGGTTGCTAATTGCTCTCACTGTTTGGCCTTGTTTTCACTCTCCTGTCTCAGGTTCCCTATTTCACTTGCTCTGGAATTTTCCTAGCTCCTTACTGTCCTGGCACAGTAATATGACATTTTGTTCGTATCTCCCAAATCCAAGATGCTAAAGTAAGGCATCGAAACTCCGGTAATTCTTACTGATTTAGCAAATTAAATGTTCTATTTAATCCAGCACCAGATTTTACTTAATATAAAAAGCAAAGGGCACTTTACCACTGGTTTAAAGTAAAACATAATAAATTCTCATTTTTAAGTACTTATATGCATTGTTAATGACTCAGCATTAAAAGAAAAAAAATAGAAGAAAATGCTAGCATCAAACTGAACGATGCTCTATTTTTAAAAATTATTTTGTGCATGAGGGTAGAAAACTTGAGAGTTAACAAATTAAGACTTCTGATTTTATAGTAGTCAGTATGGAGAAAAAACAAAATATATTTTTTTTAGTAATTGGGGAATATTTTTGAAATGCTTTACCTCTTTTTTTGGAATGGGTGGTCTTGGTAAAAATGAGAACCTTTTAGGATTTGATGGCTTTTTTACTCAGTATTTTTACTTAGTTCTAGGATATGTATAAAACACGGTGACACTTAAATATTTATTATGTAGTCATTGGAATATTGTTTCAGGTGGAGGTACAGGACATGTGTGTGTACTTGTAATAACTTGAATTTTTTCATTATGAAAAATTTTAAATATCCAAAAGCAGAGAGAATGATAAAAACAGACACATGTGCCATCATTTATTTTAACATATATCAAGATTTTGCCACATTTGTTTTACCCATCCATTTTTAAAATTTTTTTCCTGAATTATCTAAAAGTGAACCTTAACATCAGATGTTTTAGCCTTACATGCTTCCGATACATTGCTAAAATACATGAGTCACTTACATAATCATACCACCTTTAATTTATCTAACAAAATTAATAATAATTCTTTGCTATTATTTAATACCATCCCATAATAAAATGTTTCTATTTTCCTCAAAAGTGTTTTTGACATGTTTCAAGTCAGAATCCATTAAAGATCATATATCATTGGGCTATTATGTCTATTAACCTCTTAATCTGGAACTTGTTCATATTTTTAATATAGTTAAACTCAGTCTCTAAAAAGATATTTTTATGTTTTGTCCAGGAAGTCCAGTAAATTCTGCGTTTGTGGCTCCTGCGGTTACCCCAGTGAAGGGCGCTTTACAGAAACAGACCAACAACCCTGGAGTCAGACTATTTCAGTATGATCCTCATGATTATAAGTTATTGGTAAGTTGGTACAATTTTAGAATTGACCCCATGTTTATAAATGACTTCATATTTTCAGTAGTTTAGTTGAATGTTTTTAGTATAGCTGTGTGTGCTGTGTGTGTGTATATATGTGCTAACATAGAATGATGTCCCTGATATAGCATTCAATACTTTTTAAAAGTCCAAAAGTTTGTATAGTATGACTTCCTTTTTTAAAAAAGCCAAAAAAAGCCCAAACTGGTTTGGCTCAGTGGATGGAATGTGCACCTGTGGACTGAGGGATCCTGGGTTCGGTTCCGGTCAAGGGCATGTACCGTGGTTGAGGGCACGTTCCCGGTGGGGGATGTGCAGGAGGCAGCTGTTGTGTCTAACTCTCTATCCCTCTCCCTTCCTCTCTGTAAAATAATCAATAAAATATATTAAAAAAAATAAAAAAGCCAAAAAATAGGAAATAGGTGTATATTTTCTAAATACTTATATTTGTTTCATACATAAACTCTAGAACAGCACAAGTAACACCAGAGTGTTGGTAAATGTTTAACAACCTGTTCACCGGGAGAAAAAACACACAAACTTTGGTTTATAGTGTTTGCTGATTTCCATGATGTAAATACTCCCATCGTGGCCAATTTCAAGCTGCCAGAGTTAGTGTCAACTGACTGGCAAGATTCCTGAAAATCTGACAATCGGCTCTTGTGAGCTGGTTACAGCGCCTCCAGCATAATATCATTAGTGGTGGTGACTTTTGACGCGTGTGAATCGAAGGCTTTCTATTCTGTACATCTCTTTATATCATTTATATTAATTTGTATTATGTTCTTTCATTTGTTTTTAAAATGAAAAAGTAATATAGCTCTTCTAGTGGGGTTCTTTCTCCAAAATCAACTCTCACTTTTTTAAGTGATTGCAACTTGAAATCAGGAGTGCCGCGTTAATCCTAGGGAAGACTCTTCTTGCTGCAAAGTGTTTTGTGTGCCCCCGAATGAACTGCGCTTTCTTACTGTTTTTGACTGTAGGATATGTTGCAGTTTTACTTGAACCTGACAGATGCTAATCTAAAAGGAGAATCCAACTGGCAGCTGGAGTACACCCTGACCCAGACTTATGACATTGAAGATCTGCAGCCAAAAAGTTTGTATGGATTAGCTAAAGAATTTGCAGCCCTGGATAGTAAGAAATTCATGAAATACTATAATTACTACTTCGTGAGTTATGACAGCAATGTCGTTTGCAGTGACTTATGCAAGGCCTTTCAAATTTGTGCAATTATGAATCTGGATCGTAATTCCTATGTAGACTGCCTCAAACGTTACTATATAAAGCACAATCTATAGCATTTCCCAACTTGTGTTCATAGAGAAGGCAACTTGTTATGTCAATCTTTGTGAGTTACTGAATGGGCAAACAGAATTCCTTTCTTTGCTTTCTTTTTTATGATGCTCAAATGAAGATATTTTTAATATTCCAATTTTTTGATACATTAGATGTATATAAACTGCCCACTAGAATGATGTTTAAATATGCACTTTCTATCTTCCAGTTTATATAATTATATCTAATTTATACTCTTGTGACAATGCCATTTTTATAGTCAAGGAAACAACTCTTCAGACGTATGACCAATTATTTTTCAAAAGATAATTTTCAGTTTGATTGATTCACTCTTATTAAAACCCCATGTGTGAGCTGAAGTTCAAACTGTTTAAATCTCATGTGTAAACTGAGGTTAACATCTTTTACATGCACCGCCTCCTCTTGGGAAAACTCGGATTTCTCATGAGGGTCATCTCTGAGTCTATGAAACATCACCGGACATGTGGTATCTAGCTGTCTCCACTCTGTGATGAAAGGGAGTGCTTTTCAGTACCGCTAACTTCTTAATTTAATTTAATTTAATTTAATTTAATTTTTTAATCCTCACCTGATATTTTTTCCATTGATTTTTTAGGGGGAATGGAAGAGAGAGGGAAAGACAGAGAGAAACATCAATGTGACAGAAACACCTCGCTTGGTTGCCTCCTGGATGTGCCCTTGACCAGAATTGAACCCGGGACCCTTTGGTCCACAGGCTGACACTCTATCCACTGGGCCAAACTGGCTAGGGCAGTACTTCTAACTTTTAATGAGAGAATGTCACAAGTTATACTTACTGTAACTACAGTACAAGCACAAGGTCTGGGGCCCAGTCCAGTGTCTGACACTTGGTAAATAACTGAGGAAATGAACTGAAAGGATGAAAGAAATGGATGGAAATGCAGCAGTGGCATTTTCTTTGTTACAGTGTTCAGAGAGAGGATAAAAATGAGCTTTCATTTCATGGGGTTGTTTTTAGGGTTCTCCCATGGTTGTTGGCTTCTCAACAGCTTCTTTCAAGCTGTTGCTTGTTTCCAGGCTCAGTGGGAGGATTAAAGTGGAAGAGAAGAGGCTGAGGCTGAGAAATTTAGGGGAAGAGATGATTGTACACTCCAATATCCCCAGTACATTGGTTTGGTGGAGAATACTTACAGGTCAGTGGTTGGCAAACTCATCTGTCAACAGAGCTGCAAACTCATCAGTCAACAGAGCTGCAAACTGTGGCTCGTGAGCCACATGTGGCTCTCGAGCCACAGTTTGCCGACCACTGCCTTAGGTCAATCAATAAGGAGAGTGAAACTCATTGTCCTGGTGAGTGGTTTGACTTCACGTAAAAAATGACTTGTAGGTAGAAGATCGCATTATAATGAAACCAAATTAATCTTAATTTCGAGAGGGCCAAGAGGTTTAATATTATAAAATTAAAATATTATATCTAAGAAATACTAATATTTGTTAGGTGAACTTTTAAAAAATTTTTAGGTTTAAAAATAAATTAGTATGTTTTAGACATGAAAATACTGAAACAAAGCAATGATTTATTTTTATATAAAATCATAGCATTTAAAAATCATCCTACCTGCAATTATATTTAGGGTTAGTATTGTCAAATGACTACATCAAGTATTTATATATTTTTATACCTAACGGGCAAATGTTTTCAGAAATCAGTCTCGTGCCTTATCACTAAAATTGCTGAAAGTCAAAGATGGCGGGAGCTGACTCAGACAATGAGTCCTAGCACCGGAGGTGAACACATGGGTTTGCAGGATGATTGTGGGGGAAATTTCTGCATCTTTGGGGGACTTGGGGAGTGAATATTTAGGGTCCTTCCCACATGATTCTACAATAAAAACTTTTTAATCCTACCTTTTCGTGTTCAGTTTACTTTTACCTTTAAGTGGAAATAAATGGTCTCAAAGTTTGAGTAACATCTAGGTACATTATCAGCAGTCAAAGGAATGTTTCAATTCTATCATCAGAGCTGTTACTATTATTTAATTGTGGTTTATTTCAGGTTATGTTCAATTATTTTAAAGAAAAAAGTTATGTCCACAGTAAAACTTGTCTTGATTTGCTTCTGCGTATTGATAGTGCTTTGGCAAATTTATAAAATACACCTTGTTTAGATTATTTAAATTGATACTTTCAAACCAGTTTTGTTTCAACATTTAGCCACACGTTTATAGGAAGGAATGGGAGTAAAGGTGAGGGAAATGGGAAAGAGTCCTCAAGAAGAATCACTGGTTTAGGTGGGTAGAGAGATTTAGGGGCAAAACATACCTACGAATATATACTAGGAAATAGCTATTCAAATGAATCCTTTTCTAATACTAATATTCTCACATATTATGAAGGGGTTGGCTAAATTGAACAGCCGTCTCCCATTTGGAATGATGGGGTGGGAGGTCTGCGTAAATTCAGTAGCCCAAGGACACCGTTTGATCTGGGTCCATACTCCTGAGAAAATTCTGTTACTCTACTAGGGGTGTCGAACTCAATCAGAGAAGGGGCCAAAATCTAAAATCCAGCCTAAATCGCGGGCCGAATGGTTTACTGAACAGTCATAAACTGTCATTGTGATGGAAACGCAGCGGAGTGCAGTGATGACAGCGCAGTGCGGGCCACATTGCAAGGCCTGGCGGGACGGATTTGGCCCGCGGGCCTTGTGTTTGACACATGTGCTCTAGACTCTTAACAGATGAGCTGACTCCTGCCTCTTGAATATTGTCACATCTGAATGAGTCAGTCAGAGAAAGACAAATACTATGATTTCACTGTTATGTGGAATGTAAACAAATAAACAAAATGAAGCAGGCACATAGAGAGAACAGACTGATTTGCCAGAGAGGAGAGGGGTTGGGAGAAGGTGAAGGGATTAAGAAGCATTGGTTGGTACTTACAAACAGTCACAGGGATGTAAATTACAGCATAGAGAATCTATACTAATAGAGGGATATGCAAATTGTCCGGGACACCATCACAGTAACAGTAACACTCAAACGGCAGGCTGTGTGTGGCAACCAGGACAGCAGAGGGGGGCAGTAAGGGGTAACCAGTCTGGTGGGGGGGGGGGCAGTTAGGGGCGATCAGGCAGTCAGGCAGGTGAACAGTTAGGAGCCAGCAATCCCGGATTGTAAAAAGAATGTCCCCGGGATTGGGCCTAAACTAGCAGACATCCCCCAAAGGGTCTCGAATTGGAAAGGGTGCAGACTGGGCTAAGGGGAACACCCTCCTCCCCACATGAATTTTGTGCACCGGGCCTCTAGTATAATCAATAATATTGTAATAACTGTGTATGATGCTAGGTAAGTACTGGAAATATAGGGGTGACACTTTGTAAAGTGTATGATTATTTAGCCACTGTGTTGTACACCTGAAATGAATACAAAATAATATTCAATATAAATAACTGAAAAATTAAATTAAAAAAAATAGTCAACTCCAAGTCAAGAGAAATAAAAAGAATATTGTCACATCTGCCTTGTGTGATTCTTCTATGCAGTGAGCTTTATGCCAAAAAGAAGAAAGATGGGACTTCATTGAGCTAACAGTAGAGGTAATGTGACTGTTTCTGGACCTGCTTGCTAAATAAAATCTATGAGACCTTGCTTTCATAGTTAACATCAGAAAAAGTTGTGGGGGGAAAAGTCATTTAATGAACAATATTTTTCAGGGTGGCCAATGCAAGCTGGTTAGATAATTAGCTCTTCAGAGCTCTTTTTGCAGTTATATAAAAATGTATTGCCTTGTTAAGGAAATCTATTCATCTTCAGTTGAGAATAATAAAGCATACCCACCAATGGCTTGTATTATTTTTTCCATTTCCATGTTTGCAAGATAATTAAGAATACATCCATGTACATCCCTTAGCTAATCAGTTTTGGAAGCACACTGAACAGAGGTATACCTGACATTAAGTTAGCTTTAAGCTTATTGGCTATGCCAACAGCTAGAGGCAGTTTGGAACCCAATTACTGAAAAGCTTTTGCAGGATTTACTACCTGTTTGCTGACACCTTCTCAGTGGTGAGAGGTCTGGGTACAGACTTGCTAATCCAAGCATGTCTTAATGCTGGAGTTGGGGTCAGGCAGGCAAAGGGGTCCCAATGAAGACACCTTTTCAACAACTCATTTGTCATGTTTCCTGTTAATCCCTCAAATTACTGCCCTGTGGTGTCAAAGATAATCGCAGCAGCCTGAGGTAGTTTCTGTTCTCCTGGAAATTCATTAATCATCACCTTTTCTCTTAAAAATCTAGTTGGAACCCAGTTTAGCTAAAATATATGTGGTTTCTTACAATCCTTTGCAAAAGGTTAGTAGCAATAAGTTTAGAACTGATGTATATTAAAATCCTTTGATAATTAAAAATGTCAGTAAATGTTAAAAAAAATCTATTCATTATATTTTATTTATTTTATTTATTTTTTATTATATTTTAATGAATATATTTGCTAAACCAGAGAAAACTAAAATCTTTCATTTGGAATCTTTATGCTGTAGAAGCAAAACATGATCTTTTTGATAAGAGTATATTTAAAAAGCTATTCATCTTCAGTTGAGAATAATAAACCATCGGAGATTAAATAGGCGATCCTCTGTTTAGAAGCCACCATGTGTTTAAGTTACTCATATGTTCAATAATTATTTTACAGGAAAGGAAAGTGGGTCCGTACATTTATCTATCAAATACATGTCTGTGGGCAGAGTTGGCTGAGAAAGATTAAGTAGCCTGCTTAAGGGTTACGCCTAATTAAGGAAAGAAGCTGTAACTCAATCCCTCGCCTCTGACTTCAGGCTCAGTGCTATTTCCATTATATTGGTCACGCTTGCAGCTCTCAGCACTTTCCACATCCATGTTTAATTCATGAGGTTCACAGGGCCACAGATGAACTCTTCTACAACACCATTTTTGTTAGGTGTTTCACAATTGAGTTAACTTTTTCCAAGACTGCCTGTTAGTATTTAAAAACGTTGTGTTTATTTAGCAAACACAGCTGCCTCTCTCCCTCTATGTGATGTTGTGTTGACCTGCTTCTGTCACATTGAAACTTCCAGGTATTTTTTCCTGGCCAAGACATAATTTAAGAATTACGCAAGAAAGAATGTATCCTCTTTTCTATTAATTTAGAATAAGTAAAATGTAACTTTTCAAATATAAGAGACTTTTTTTTTCCAATTTTGATTTTTACATATTAAATGCATTATTACTTTCAATATGCTGCTAGAAAGCTTTCATTTATTTTTATTTTTTGTTAATTCTCACCCAAGGATATTTTCCCATTGATTTTTAGAGAGAATGGAAGGGAGGGGGACAGACAGATAGAGAGAAACATCAATGTGAAAGAGACACATCGATTGGTTTGGTTGCCTCCTGTAGGTGCCCTGACCACAGCTGAAGATCGAGCCTGCAACCGGGTACCAAGCCCTTGACCAGAGTCAAACCCTGGACCCTTTAGTACACAAGATGATGCTCTATTCACTGAGCCAAACTGGCTAGGGCTAGAAAGCTTTTGTTTTTAAGATCTCATTATATATTCAATGGAGTTCAGACAATTTTCCGTTTAACATGGTCTGTTGGGCATTATTTTATGCAAGATACAAGCTTCGTGTCTACATTACCTGATTACGTCAGTTTATAGAACGGTTTTCCTGTTTCAGCACTGGTTCTGGGCCCTCAGAGCACCTGATATTAAAAGAGGAACCATTCCTTGAACATCCATCCACCAATCCTTTTGATTACAAAGTTAAAAATCCTACCATTGTGTGGGGAAAAAAAGAGACTTGTATTGTGAAAAACACATCAATATATCCTACATAATATTAGGCTGCAGAAATTTCTTAGAAGCAGTCCTATCTAATGCAAAGGATTACCTATGCAAATTAACCATCACTCTGTCACAAAGATGGTGGCACCATAGCCACAAGATGGCGGCACCTCATCCTCAGCCTCACTGGCGTCCCCCAGTCCTGAGGAGCCCACCGCTGAGAGTGGGCAGCTTGAGAAGCCTGGTGGAATGCTTGCTTTGTCACCACGGCAATGAGGCAAGCGTTCCACCCCTGACCAGGGCCTCTGGGTAGTGGGCATGGAGCGGCTGGGGTTGGGGTGGGGGGAGGTGCTTGCGTCATCTCGACAAGGCAAGCATTCCATGCCAGGCTGCAGATAGGTCTCTGGGCCTCGGAGAGCCTCTGGGCAGCGTGCACGGAATGGCCAGGCCCCTCAGAGAGCTACTGGCACATGGATTTATGCACAGGACTACTAATACATACTAACTGCTGCATGCACATGCCCTTATGCACACATTAATAGTCTCATGAGAGGAAGAATGCCAGTAAGAGAGAGATATTTCTATATGTTTTAAGAAATCAGTTAAATTTCAGGCTTGATCAAATTGCACAGGTATCTATCTCTCCCTACATCTAAGAACATAAACACGAGAAATGACTGAAACAGGAATTTCAGGGGAACATAGGCAAATTTAGGGAATATTTAAAATTGGGGTTCATGGGAAGAAAAACACATAAAACACAGGGCTATAGATGGGGAAAAGGTACATTTCCATAAGTCAAGGAAGCCAGGTGCAGTTACCGTATTTTTCGGACCATAAGACGCACCGGACCATAAGACGCACCAGTTTTTAGAGAAGGGAAATGAAGAAAAAAAGATTCTGAAACAAATAGTGTCCTAAAATATTTTATGTGCATTAAAACCCAACATCACAGTCATAAACACATGTAATCAACCCTGTAAAGTAAACAGCAGCATTTAGAACCATTTTAGAGCCGGGCAAGCACACAGAGACCATACAGAGCCAGGCAAGTAAAAAAACTTTTTTTTAAAAGTATATGTGTAGGGGGGAAAAAAGTGCGTCTTATGGTCCGAAAAATACGGTACTTTTCCATGAGAAGAAAGGAGCAGCAACAGGTATATTTCCATAAGACAAGGAGCTAGAAGTAGCCAAAAAGGTCTATGTTTACAAAATAAAGGAGGGATGGAAGGACCATGATGGAGGAGGGCCTCAGGAGTCACTAATAGTAACCAATTCGAAAGGGAATATTGACCAATCAGAGGTGACATCAGGACAGACACAGGAACTGCAGCCTTTATAAACCATGGACACAGAAAGTCAGAGGGACCCTTCCCCCTCCCCATGAGGGAGTCCATTCTGTGGGACTCTTTCCCCCTACTCCCCCATGTGGGAGTCTCTACTTGTTTTGCAATAAATCTCCACCTTTGCTATACTACCCTCTGTCCATGGATTCATTCTTTGACTCAGGCAGACAAAGGATCCAGGTTCCAGTTCAAAAATTCCATTTCATGACAAAACTCAAAACAAATTTTTAGTTTCTAATACCGGCAATACAGCCTTTTCAAAAGATACAGAAATGATTTTTCAAACATCCCATACTAATTATTTTAAGCAATTATCATCAATGGATGCTAAAACTTGGGTGAACATTTTGATGCTGGAGGAATGAGTGGGTCAGACTTCCCAGACACCAGTGGGAGAAAGGCTCTTGCAATACCTTCAGAAAAGGAATTTTCTAAGCCTCGCACAGGAGGCTGGGATGCGGGAGATTTCATTGGTGTGGAGTTACATTTCTCCGGTTCCAAAGTCACCTGTCCCTTAAGCCAGTCCCGGAAAGGGTGCCGCTGGGAGTTCAGCAAGGCCAGAAATAGGGCCAGTGTCCAGAGTTCTGTTCCAGGGTGCAGCTGGCTGTGCTTCAGCATTCAGGCCAAATTCAAGTCTGTTATCCAGGTGGGGAGCCCCACGTGACCAGGAGCCATGTGACCGCAGAGGAGCCTGCCCCTTCATCAGGAGTATCAGCAGTGAGGCAACCTGGAGCCATGAGGGAGTGGCTCCTTTGTCTGCAAGTTTATATGTTTAGATTTCCCCAGTTAGCAGTGGCCACGTCCATCCTGCCAATGACCTGTTTCTGAGTGTGATTCACAGGCAACAATTTTTCCACCTCACTCAGCCCTTCCTGGGCATGTGTCTATCTGGTCTTTCCTTTCCTCCTTTGCTGTTAAATAATTGATGGGGAAAATAAGACATTTTTTTTTTTTTTGGGGGGGGGAGAGGTTAGCAGTCTGAATCTGTGCCAGTAACCTAATGCACATTCCTGTTAGTCTGTAGTCTAGTCACTGCCCCTTCCTCCATTATCTGGTCTTGTAAGACCTGTTTACCTGAGTACTCCGATTTTAGAGAGGCCATAAGCCATGAGCAATGTACAATCCCCAGAGAAGGTTATCAGCACTGGTGCCAGGCCAGGCCTTTAGGTGTGGTCTCACAGTCCCCATCCCAACACATGGGGCTTTTTGCAAAGCCCAAGAAAGGTCTGGAAGTCTGATCCATATTTGGGGGACAAAGAAACCAAAGGGTATAAAGGGAGAGCTCCCTCCATATTGGTTTGCTCAGGATTTGGAGAGAAACAGTCTCCCCTGAGTCACTGGACTAGTACATGCGAAACATCTGAAAATAAATGAGTTTTTCTTGTATCTCAAGTATTTCTGTGTGTTCTTGATCACCTAGTAAATTCTGTAACAACTAACCAGGTTATTACAACAGCATCAATTTGATGAGGAACAGAACATTACATTATCTCAAAGTATTTTCCTAGAGGTTAAACATTAACAACAAAAATTAAAACAGTAACACTATAGTTGAGAAACCTGGCAAATGCCACCTTAACAAAGTTTTTACAGTTAAAATCACAAACAGTTGAGCTTCCTGTTGTGATGCACTAATGATATACTCCTCTTTCCTAAAATGTGTAAAATAAACATACATTTACGGAAATATCAGGCTCATTGGGGGGCATTTTATAAAACGAATGGTAAATAATTTTTGAAAAGGTTAATATCATTGAAGAAAAAGGAGGAGTTAGGAATTAATTTAGATTAAAGGAGTCCAAAGAGGCCTGACAAGTAAATGCAATGCCAATTCCTGGATTGGGACAAAAATTTCCACAAAGGGCATTTAAAAAAAAAATAATTGATGAATATTGAAAATAAACTGTATATTGTTGAATATTGCATTCATATGAAGCCTCCAGAATTTAATAACCATGTGTGGTAAAGCAATGTCTTTGTTCTTGGAATACATGCTGAAATATTTAGGGGTAAAGGGCAGGTTATTTGCAACTAACTGTTATGTAGTTCAGGAAAAAAAAAAACCTAGCATTTGCACACATATGTATCCACACAGATACAAATATGTACATATAAAATATGTACATATAAAATAAAACGTTAGCGTAAAATGTGAAAAATTAGTTCAAATAATTTCTAAGCCAAAAACCCAAAAAACAAAAGTGAAAGTAATTAAAAGCACAGTGGCTGTATTTCTACAGGATGTGGTTTGGGCAATGTTTTATTTACACTCTTCTTATTCTTTAAAATGGCTTTTTTACTTAACTGTCATAAACTACTTCTTAATTGTTTTAGGTAGCATATGAAGAGCTTCCTCGCTGTCTTGCTACTCTCACCACTTGGGCAGGCAGTTTTGTGGCTCTACAACAAGGAGCCTTGGCTGTCCCATAGCGCGCGCGCGCACACACACACACACACACACACACACACACACACACACCCGCCTTCCTGTGATCTCCATTCCCTCGCTGCGTGCTTGGCATTGCTTGTGATGGGCGGCGGCCTGGACCATGGAAACCCTTGTGCCTCAGTAAGCAATGGCAAGTAGATGGATCATTCTTTGGAGTGGCATGTGTGAGGTAATCCGCTTTCATTACAGGCTCTTAGGGAGGCGATGGGGATTGGATGCTGTAAGCACAGGGTAGAATATATTTGTTCTCCCCAAAGGCCAAGTTCAAGATCTGCATGAATCATTCTTAATTTCCCACAGCCATTTTCAGGTCTTTCTTTCTTTCTTTCTTTCTTTCTTTCTTTCTTTCTTTCTTTCTTTCTTTCTTTCTTTCTTTCTCTCTCTCTCTCTCTCTCTCTCTCTCTCTCTCTCTCTCTCTCTCTCTCTCTCTCTCTCTCCCTCCCTCCCTCCCTCCCTTCCTCCCTCCCTCCCTCTCTCTCTCTCTCTCTCTCTCCTCTTTCTTTTTTTTCCCCCCCTGAGTTTTTAAAATGAATAATCTTGTTTGAGCATGGCTTTTTTCCATTTTTAACATCTCTTGAAGGCATTCTCATCATTCTATTTAGATGGTCCTGAAGAAAACTTTCCTTTCTTTCATATATTAGTTCACACTGGGTCGCTGGAAGCTATGTGACTGTAAGCCACATGACTGCTCTCATGCTTTCCTTTGAAGTTTCAGGAGGAAAACATAAAGCTTTCTTTTGTGTGTGTAGTTGTGATGACCTAATGTCATGCAAAATCAATAAAAACCACTCATTTATATTCCCAAAAATTGTAAAGTTTTTACTGATTAAGATCTGGTAGATTATAATAAAAGAACTTCTATAGCAGCATTGTAAAGAATGTTTTTATAATATCATTGACAAGGATTTTACTGTCATTTATTCTTGCTGTTATTAAGTCATCATCACTGAGAGAACAACAGTAATCTGGCAGCAGGGATTTTTGTCCTACCTGCTTTCCAAGGCAGGTTTCCAAGGCAGACATAATCAGCTCCACGGTGTCTCTTTCATTATTAAAGTTCTGCAAACATGTTTCCCTTTGATTGTATTCCTCTTTGAAGATCTTGGTTATATAATTAAATAGTGGTTTGCACTCTCATATTTGGAGGAGAGGTTTGGAAATCTGGCTTATGAAGCCAATGAAGAAACTCTTTGGTATGGGCGTGATCATGAAAAGACCTTTATGATTTATAATAAGAAATTGGCCCAAAAAACAAAAAAAATGGTTTTAGCCCTAACCGGTTTGGCTCAGTGGATAGAGCGTTGGCTTGCGGACTGAAGGGTCCAGATTCGATTCCGGCCAAGGGCATGTACCTTGGTTGCAGGCACATCCCTTGTAGGAGGTGTGCAGGAGGCAGCTGGTCAATGTTTCTCTCTCATTGATGTTTCTAACTCTATCCTTCTCCCTCCCTTCTCTGTGAAAAATCAATAAAATATATTAAAAAAAAAAAAAAGAAATGGTTTGATTTTTTTCTCCTTGAAGACAGTATAGTTACATGGCCCAGACAATGTTTACAAGGATTTTCCAGGTGTACTCTTTCCAAAATTTACCAATAGAGGGAAGCACCTACGATAAAATAATTGAGCCAGTTTTTCTCCTGCTGCCCCTTCATAACCACCTTTTCCCACTTTACAAAGAAAGGCGTTCTTCTCATTAAAAATCTTCTCATCGAAAAATCCCCCAGAGATAAAATAAAGGGACATTTCATGTTACAATGTTGAGAAAGTGGATTCCTTTAATGCCACATAACAAACCCTTTTATAACTCAGGTGCTTTCGAGTTCTTTGCTTTCAATATATTGCTAGATTACTATAAATAGCAAAGCTAGATCATTAACATCAAGCCGCTACTTTGAATCCCTCGGGACCAATCCTTATTCCGCAGTGGGGTTCTGCCCCCCACACAAACAGCAGCATGGGGATTTGGATGGAAAAAAAAAAAAAAAAAAAAAAAAAAAATATATATATATATATATATATATATATATATATATATATTCATGCCATTTATATGCCATTTACTTGAAGGCCATTACATAAACACAGCTGATTGTCTAATTATCTGACAGAATAGAAGATCGGGGTTTCTAGAAGGAGTCAAGGCATCCATCCAATCTAAGATCCTGATTACATTCTTATAATATCTAGTAATTTCCTTTGTAGTACTCATCAAAACTGTCATTACTTAATGATTCGTGGTTTTTGTGCTCTATCTTCACTACACTGTAAATTGATTTTGCCTAAACTTCCTGTCTCTCTTTACTTCCCCCTCCTATTTTAGAAATTTTTTTTTTTAATGTTATAATGAGTAGCATTCAGCAATTCTCAAGGAAAGGCATCTCTTGCTGTTTTCCCAGGCTTCCTTCTCTTTCCTTGAAAGACAAAAGACAAAAGAAAAAGGAAAAAAAGGCAACAAGGAGAGCCAGTCTGCGCTGCCTGCGGGCTCCCCGTGGTGCGATGCTGATGTAACGGGCCGGGGGCGCCGTGACTGGCTGCCTGCGAACTGGTCATGTCTTCACACGGGGAGCGGCAATCAGCTTACAGCGAAACCACCTCTGAGCACACGCTGCTGCCACGGAGGCCACCAAAGAGGCAGCCTTCACAGGCCGCAGAGCCTCCCGAGCCCAGGAAAGGAGAGGAGACCCCGGGGCCGCTGGAGGCAGAGGCGTCCACACCCCAGCCTCTCTGTCTGGGCATCCTGCAGACCAGGGAGGGGGGTGGCTGATGGGACATCCCCGGAAATGCCCGCTGGGGAAAAGCGCATGTTTGACATCAGGAGCGAGAGGCAAGTGCCAAGACACCGTATACAGCCAGGAAGGAGAGGCAGGGCCAGAAGAATAAGAAGGGACATGCAGGGTGATTTGAGAACACCAGAGCTGAGGCTTGTTACCCGCCTCTCAGGCTTCCAGGGACTGAGGTGTCTAAAATAGAAATGAACACATCTACTCCCTTAAAAAAGGAAGTCTTTCATTATAGTTACTTAAATATTTAATCATGAAAAAAAAAGAATTATCTTGCATAAGGCAGTAGGCTATCATCAATGGCAGCATGTAACCCAAGGAATTTTTTTTTTCATTCTGAGGCCCTATCCTAACTCAATGACAATGTAATCTCCATAGACCCTTTGAGGACACTTTAATTTTTTTCAAGACAACAAAATGGTGAATAATTGTATTTGTAGACAGTGAAACAAAAGAAAATTAGCTTAGAAAATAATTCTTTATTGTAGGGATACTTCATTGGCTACCTCTGTGCAACTCTTTACCGCCCTCCCCTGATTGCTCTTAGAAATGCTGCTTCTCTCAGGAACAATTAAACTCTTCCATCAGGCAGAAAGAAAATTTAGTCATTTCCCCAGATGAATACATTTAAATGGTCTCTCTTTCTGGGAGGCAATATCAGAGATGTCTCAAACTGCTGTACATTTGTTTCCTCCCCAAAGTAATAACAAGGAAAGAAATGATAGCATTTAATTGACATTTCTTAGAGTCCTGGGGTCCCCTGAGTGGAATTAACTTTTCCTCCTTTCCAGAAGTATTACTCTGCCTCATTAAAGAAAGAAAAAAAAAAAGAAAAAAAAAGATGTGGAAATCAATAAGAAAGAAAGAAAAAAAAGATGTGGAAATCAATAAGTCACTCATGGATATAGTCTCTAACTTCACACGAAAGGGTCTTTCTATTGAACTTATGGGTAGTTAGCTGAATCCTGGGAGCTCAAATACAGCTTTAGGAGGAAATGCATTGCCTTACCTTCTAGCCTGAATATGAAATTAAAGATGAGGTAGGTGAGAAGGGCCCCTATTTGAATTAGAATCATGGAATAAAGGGGCCAGAAGTAATTAGAGTATTAAAGCAAAATCCAGGGCTGGCCCTTAACTTAAAATGAGCAAACCAAGGCCCAGAGAGTGAAGAGACGTTCAGAATCACTCAGAGCAAAGCACTGGTTGATTCAATTATTCCTGATTTCTCTTGTTATTCGGGCTCTACTGGGTTTGAAAAATCCACTAGATTTATTTAACTAGGTTTGACCTGGGTTTGAAAACTCCTCTTCTCCTTTGTGTGCATCTGGGTGTCAGCGTCTCTGGGTTCCATCATTAAAAACTTAATGCTCTTGTGTTGCCCTCTGGTGACAGATGGCATGTACTACAGCTGTGGGACTTAGCCAAGCACATCCTCCTCCATTCATTCAACAAACATATACTGAGGTCTATTACATGCCTGCCATTGCTCGACGCCGGAACTTTATCAGTAAAAACAAAATACACTATTCCTTCCCTCATGGAACGAATGTACTAGTAGAGAGAGACAAGACAGCAAACGCATTATACATAATACCTGTCCAATGTCTGAAGACTTGTTTATGGATTTTGCCTGGCTTGCTAGTTGTATAATGTTGGGCTGCTGCTGCTGGTTAAATCCAACCCCCTGTTATTTCATCTGGACAGGAAGAAGAAATCCCTGGGGGTTTTTAATTCTTGAGATGTGTCTCTTGAACATGCAAGTAGTGAAAATATTGAGTAGGCAATTAGATAGATGAGTTTGGAGCTCAGAAAAAAAGATCCGGATTGGAAATTGCCAGAAACCAATCATTGTCTCACTAATTAATAGATAGAGGCTGGTCAACCTTGAAGCTCTGAAAGGTCAGAGCCAACCACACCCTATCTAATTGAGACAATAGTAACTGAGGCAACTTCCCCACCTTGTAATCATGTAAATCCTTACTGATATGATAATCTGCTTATTACCTGCCTAAGGGTACTGGGTGTTTCCCAAACCCGCTTACGGGTCCTGAGTGTATCCCAAAGCTGCTTAAGGGTAATGGGTACATCCCATAGCAGCCTCAATAAAAGGGATAGCAAGGCCAGAGCCTAGAGAGTCTTCCCTAGAGGTTGACTCCTGCCTGGCCCCACATTTGTCCCAAATTAACTCTTTTC